GGACCCTCCCTGTCAGTCCTGTCAGGACTTTACATGAAGTAAAGTCCTTCACATCCTCCCCTGAAATGCCACTTCATAGAAACACATGCACGTGAAAGGATGTCATTCTTGGACCACACGTACTTCTCCTTTAGGCGGGCCTCACACATTCTCAATCAGCCGTCACACAGACACACACCCACTCCCACTCCTCTGCCAGTCACTCACACCTACCCACTCACTTACCTCTTTTATTTCCTGCATTTCTCTTTTCAGATTCCCCCCAGCAGCATGAACACTTCCTTTCATTCTTTACTTTTTCGCCTCTTTTCACCACTTTTCATTGTTTCCTCTAACAGCCACTCATCTCTGTCTCGATGCAGTCAGCCTGAAGTGAACATGCAGTCTAAACAGCAGAAGCGGATATTTAGGTTCTCCCACACTGCTCTGACTTCACTCGCATGTTTTATCACAACCTATCTCTCCCACTCTTTCCATATGGTGCAGATAAATATTTAAAAAATCTCCCAGACTTGTTGCTTTATCTGAATCCCTTTTTGTCATATACATGAATTTACTGAGGCCATGAATGGTGGAACATGTGCTTAAAGATTGAGTTAGTTTCTTTTTTCCTAAAGCAATAAAATATAGACTTCTGGACCTCCATACATGTGTGGTGGTGACTGTGTCTGAAGAGGCTGTTTGGTTTTGGTTGACACGGAGGTTTCTGGGCGGGAGCTGGTGTGCCTCCCCCGGCCAATGGCAGCGCGCAGATGAGTTTAGGAGTGGATACAATTCGGCGATTGGACGCAAGTCAAACCAACAAGTATGACGGACGTGGAAGTAGCGCAAGTAAGGAAAAACGCCAAGCCAATACAGCTTATTCCAAAATTAGGGTGAGCCTTACGTTAACCTGGGAGAACCATGCAGCCTCCCGCTGGGTGTAAACGCTGACCCATCCAGTTTTAACAAATGGAAAGGCTCGCATGTGAGGGGGCAAGTGAGATCCGAAATCAAGTGTAAATGCCTGTACTTCAGTGTCGTCCATTTTCATAGCAGATTACACAGGATTGATGTGAATGCAAGGTGTAAACAGGGCCAGAGATCCGCTAGCTTTAAGGCTTAATAGTTTTGTCCCAGGTTTGTATGCAAAGCCAAGTTAATGTTAAACATGTACTTCCTACAGTTAATTGTATAATGCACATACATTAGTTTATTATTGATTTTCACAGTTCTTCCCATAGAGAGGAGAAAATATAAGTGTCCTCAATATAAGTCTTATGAGTATGGATGGTACTGTATAGTTTCTTTAAAATGTGAAATGTTTCATGGATAGCCTTTTATAAGTGACTGCAGTAAAACCTGTTGGGGCAACTCATACAGAATAATCTTACAGGCTGAATGTGGAAATCAAGAATATTTTCTTTTCTGAAAAATGTCCCTCACCAGATCTCGGTGAGCCTATTTTGTCAGCACATTTGAGAACCCCTAAGAGTCAAGTGATTGACAGGGCTGATCAGTCAGTCTGCAGCATATCACGGGCAAATCTCACAGCCTTTTAATAATTTGTAACCTTATTGGATTGGCAGCTCTGTAGGAAATGTGAAAGAAAAGGCCTTAGGTTTGTATTTTACCCCTCTCTACTGTAGCTGCAGGTGTAACAATATTAGCTTTGGTTTATGTGAATCCCCGACCGGAGCGCGCTGGTGGAGGAGGACCGGCGCATATCAAGAGAAAGTTTTTATTCAGCAAAGTGAAAAGCGGGTTCAGTGTTGTTTTGGAAGACTGAGACAGGGACTGGGTGTTTCTTGGGTGTTGTTGTGGTTGTGAATAGAAACCATGTGATGCGGATGTGGTATCGGAGGAAGTTTTAATGGTTTGAGTGATGGAAGGAAAGAGTGGGAAATTGCATAACGAGAAAGTGAAAAGTCTTCTGGATGGCATTACATTGGCATTCCTCTACCGACCCAATTTCCTTTCCCAGCTTCATCTCTGTTTTATCACTTTTACCCGACAACGACTAAATAAAACATTCAGCTAATGTTCCCAAATCTCAACATAAATAAGCACCAGGGCTGCACGGCGTTAAGAGAAACTGACATCTTTTTCTGAGATGTATATTGTATAATGAAAAATTACAGCTTATTTAACCACACACCTGCATTTTGTTCCTCATGTACAGATATCATCCTTTTTCATCTACTGTGTCCTTTTTAAGTATATCTGAAGTATATCAAAACAAACCCCCCTCCTAGTTTATATGTAAGTATGATTCAGCCCTTTAAGACACTCACCAACTTTAGCATGGACAAGTTGAAGAGAAAGAGGGTAGATTTATGATCTACCCTAAAGATGGAGAGATAAATGCAGGGTTTTTTTGTGTTCATGTGTTTACATTTTCTTTCTTTAGTTTATACGTTTTTTCCAAAAACTTTATTGAACATTTATCGAAGCAATGTTTTAACCACATTAAGTACAGGCATGTGGACGTTAACCTGTTAGCACTGCTAACGTCACACTTTGCAAAAACAAATTACATTGTTTGCCTGCAGACAATTAGATATCATTTTGACTCAATTTCTGAGTGGTTAGTCTTTATTTTAATTCCTGTTAAACCAACAAATAACTTATCAGTTAAACAGCTAACTAGGAATATTCCCAGTGTATACACCTTGAACCTTATACAATAGCTGTCTGTGTTCAATCTATTTCTAAATGGAACTATTGGGTAGCTTTCTCCCAATAACTGTTAAACCGGGTTGTCTCAGACACCTAAATCCTCACTTTTATTGCTGGCGTTCACACAGGACTCACCTCTTCTTAAGCTTTAATTTAAGGGGCCTGCAGTGGAGTGTTGCAAACGGACTCAGCAATACAGTAGAGTGTACGAGAAGCAGCACAGAGATCAGCTGCCGGGCTCAGCTCCCATCTGGTTCAAATCCAGGGGCCTTATTCTTACTGATTTCCCCACCAGCTCCCAGTATCAGCTCCTCCAAACAGCAGCCGCTTGGACTGCAGGGCTTTGACCCAGGAAGCAGGCGGCAGGCCAGAGACAAGCTGGTTTCTCAGCCTCAGTTTCTAAGCCGGGGGATGTGGAGAGAGGATCGTGGTCTAACCCAAAGCTGAAATCTGTAAAGATTGAAGGGCAGAGAGTCAGAGGTTGGATGTTTAGCCGCCAGGATATGGCGTGTTTTTCAACTTGACACTCACGAGTGCACACTGGTCACATGCAGCATGCATTTATTGTAGCTGGTCATGTAGACTCTGGAGGATGGGCTCTGTGTGTGAGTCACAATTATTCATTGAATCCACGTTGCTGGGATGAAAAATGCTTTGACCAAAGATTCTAAAGCTTCTTTGTGGTTTCTATCAGTATTAGACCCCCTTGAAGTTCACACCCTTCAGATTTTTCCTCTTTTGCCAAAACCGCAATAATGCTGCTTGCTGGTTATCCCACTGAAAGGACTGGGTAAGAGATGATGTCATCCCTCATAGAGTCGAACACTTGGAATGTGGGCCACCTCAGCCCGCCCCGGCCAGCTGAATGGATGAAAACAAACCCTGTGAATCTACTGGCCTGCTTTAAGGGGGCCCCACCTCTGGCAGCGGTAGCCATCTTCACTCTGGGGGGCCCGGGAGGCCCGATACTTCTGGCTGACATCATGGTAGCAGAACCATTAAGATGAGATTAGTTTCAGCTTTAGCACAAAGCCCTTGTGCTATAACATCTCATCCTTTGCTCCATTTTTTTCAGGCTTATCCATTTTTAGTATTGCATAGCCTCTTTCTCTTCCTGTCGTCTTCTTTTTCGTCAGTGAGTCTCTTCTTTTGCTTTTCCACCTGATCTGTCCATCTCTTTTTTTCAAGACTTTGCTTTCCTCCCTGGCACATAGAGACTAATTTCCTGCTCTCATATGCATTTCAAAAGGTGCAGGAGGCTCCTTGTACCAAGCGGAAGAATTAAGCAAAGCAACTGGGTGAATATTAAAACCCTCCTCTGAAGTCTGTGGAGACCAGTTGTCTGTCAAACAGAATCAAATGTCACTGTGTAAACGTCACTCCTTTAGTAATCTGCTGTCACTGCTGAACATGTATTAGTACATGGGACTCTCTAAAGAACTGGCTTTCTAATGAGCTGTGTCCGTTTGTCCTGCATCACACAGACTGTTGTGAACTTGATGCACATTCTTGGCAGCTCATAATGGATCCACTCACTTTGTGGATAAGCTAGCCAGGAAACCTTTACCCTTAAAGAGTTGTCTACTATTCTGCTCTCTGCCTTCCTTCTGAGATTTGACCTACAGGAGACCTAAAGCCTGACTGTCACTCCGTAAAGACATGATTTTCTTTTTGAACACAACTAAAACGTTGCTCCTTGTAACTTAACTGCGTGCATGACTGGAATTAGTAATGTAAATATAGATAAACAAAGATAGAGAAACAAATCAACTTAAATGTAGGTTTCTTTTAATACCTGTCTAGTAGGGCTTTAAAGGCACAATCCTATTCCTAAAGCTTACTAAAATGAAACAATAAGTTGCAGTTTGGTGAAGTGTAGAAACAGAACTTGGTTAACTTTCAGATAAGATCATGCTTTGAGGATATAATAATCCAGCATGGTATTGTGGTTTTACAGAGGAAATAGACCCAATTTCACTGCACATTTCAGCACTCTCAATGAGTGTAAAGCAATGTACGATCCTGCAAAACCATGCCCCGCCCCCTTTTATTGGTAAAGTGTGTTACTGGGAGTTTCTTTTGTTTTAAGGGATATCAAAACAGCTGTGATTGTTATCATGTCCTACGAGATAGAGCGATTATGCTCATGTTTCGACTACTCGTTGCTTAAAATGACCGTTTAATTAGATTTTCTTTTCTTAATCATTCTCTATCTAATTCGCAGCATGCTATAAAAAGTATGATCTATTGGATTATCAAATATAAGATTATCATTTAGCACTTAGTGTCAAAGTTTATTGATAAATACTGTGTGATTAAAACAGCATACCCTCTTGTTGCAGGATGAGCTGGACCTGACGGACAAGAACAGGGAGGCCATGTTCGCTCTTCCTGATGAGAAGAAATGGCAGATCTACTGCAGCAAGAAGAAGGTGAGTGGCTCTCTGTCGTCCTTTCTTTACATCAGCTCCAATCTCTGGCTGGCCCTCAGCTGACTGGCTGCCTGAGCCCACAGATCAGAGCCAAACTGTCTGCAGTGAATGTTGTTGAAGGGCATTTTCTTACCAGAACTAATTTTCTCATTTCTGCATTGACGTAAACATGTGCACTTTTTTTTTCAAACCAGCACAGTATTTTTTGAAGGCAATTTTGTGAGTCCACATGTGTGTGTTGTTACCACACGTGTAAACATCACTTAGTACACAAATGCACGCCCCCCCCCCCAAACCCTTGTCATAAGACCCTCAATCTCTACATCTCCCTCCCCACATTGGAGCAAGCAATTTCCTTGTGCTGCTTAAGAATTGTCAACATACTGTGGAAGCACTAGAACATTCTGGTCAGCCCTCTCGTTCACCCCTTTCCCCTCGCCAAAACATATTTCGTTTTCTTCATACCCTTAAGCGTGTCTCTGCAACAACAACTCTGGTCTCACTTTGTGGTCAACTGTGCACCATGAGATGGCATTGTGCTTGGAGGAAAAGTGAAATAGAGCCCCCCTCTTTCGTTCAAAAGCAAATTGAATAAATAGTCATAAACCCTCCCCTGTGTTTCTGTGCTAATTTGTTTTTTGGATGAGGGTTTGGAGCTGGAAGCAGGACTAGGCTGTGACCCCTCCTCTCTTTCCAAAGCATGCAGGCTCGGCTTAGCTGATATGATAGGCTCTGACAACCTCTTTAAAAAGTAGTAAACACACACCACTTTCTGTGTGTTCGTGCATGAGTGTGTGTGCACCTGCATGTGTAAGAATTTGTGCTTGTATTTAAGCCAGCATTGAGTTTCAAGGAAAAAGGAAAAGCAGTGGAATTGTGGTGTTTAAAGGGATGTCAAGGCGAGGATGGAAGCTGGAGGTGCACATGAGTTTACAATGAAATGCAATATGGGTAAAAATAACACAAGTGGAGGATATAATCTGTGTATTAAAACATTATGATAACCAAAGGACTTGCAGTTTGCTGTTCCCTTTGAATAAATTGCACGGTATCAAAGAGGATTGCATGTCCAGCTGAATGAGTATTTGCACATGTGAAGCCACATAAAAGATGCAAGTCCAATATCACTTCTATATCAGATATTAAATATCTCAGCGAAGAGACCACAAACGTTTATGAGGACTTCTTTGTTCTGTAACAGGAGGTAGTGGAAACAAAAATTTGGCAACAGCCTGGACATACTGGAACCAGAGTGGTTTGCAGTGTGCTCCTATAAGCCGGGTTTAGAGGTAGGATATATTAGTTTGTCGTCCCTTCCCCGATCAGGAATCATTTCCTCTGTGAGGCTATATGGTGGAAAAAAAACAGCTGTGTGTCCACGCCAGGAAACGGAGAGCAAAACCGGGGTCACAGCGAACAGCAGAAAGCTTGAGGAAAAATCCAACAAACCCCTCATTCATGGATAGAGGCAGCGTAATGGAGAACAAGGGGGGGGAAAAAACTACTGGCGTGCAATATGGGATAATAACCTGTGTGTCTGAGTGTGAATATTTGGGCAGGAAGGCTTGAATTCTGTCCCCACGTGCACACACCCACACATACATGAAGAACCACATACGGAGGAACATGCGCAGGCTATTCAGACATAACCCACATGCTTACATCACACAGTAGTGCCCTGTGTTCCTCAGACTTACAGCATGACAGTGATTTGAATGGAGAGAGCAGTGGACAGCAGAATTTCCCTCAGCCCGTCCTGTCCGGGACAAACACTGGGACCCTTGTTTCCTCCAGCCGAGCGACGGCTCCAGTTGTTGTGGTTAGATAACACTTGGAGCGAGCCACTGAGGGCACAACAAGGGGACAAACTAACTTTGTTCACCTGCTGAACAAACCGGCCAACACATTTATCCCCAAACCAGTGAAGCTTTGACAGTTCTATTTCACCCGCTGTCCGGTGGAAAACAAATATTCTGACTCTGATTTAGGTTTCGTTTTTCCCATAAACTGGAGAACTAAATGTTTCTTTTGTGTTGAGTTTGTTCTTCTATACGTCCAGCCTTTTTAAAGGTTGGAACCATCAGTATATCAGACTCTGAGTTGATTCACTTCTTATGTTTTAGCTGCATCACTGATAGAGACAGTGTGAAAGCTGGAAACTTCATACAAAGACAAAAGTAAACTTTCAGAGCTCAAATTCAGTTGTTATTTTGTGAGATGATTAACCAGCAGAGTTCTCCTCTTAAAAAAATGGCATGTAGGTCCCAAGCTGCAACCTTTGGGATTAAAAAATGAAGCCAACATGCAAAAAACTGCAGTTCCTTGAGTGTCCTCTGTAGGCTGATTGCAAAGCTAGGTCCTATAGTTCATCATGCCTTTTTTTTTTTTTTACATGTTGACAGCCTTGTTCATAAAAGAAATGTGGTATAGCTTATTTATTTATATGTACTGTAAGATGGGGAAGTTTTTAATAACTAATCCATTTTTATTTTATTAAGCGCAAGAGTTATACATTAATTTGCATAATAAGGGGCGTGGTTGAGTAAACTGACAGGCAGGCATGCTGTAGCTGTTTGCCAGGAGGCTTGAGGCCCACCCCAGCTCCACCTCTTTGCCTGTTCCTGCATTTATAGAAAGTGAGGTGAAGATAGTCTTCTCAATATGGCGACCGCCATAGTTTGGCTTCAAAACTACTCTTTAGAAACCAAAGGATGGCATCACTGAGCTGTGTCCATATTGTATACGGTATAATATAGGTCCCAAAATTGTGTTTAGCTCAGTTTTTTTCCCTGTCCATCATTCTGACACACTAAATAAACTAAGTTTCTTAAAGTCAACATTTACAAGATGGGGTTTGGGGGCTGCAAAACCAGACTTTCTCTGACTTAAACTCAACTTTCTTAGATAATCTGATTTCTGTTGTCCAGATACACTGAAAATATCAAAGTTGCATGACTTGAAACATTAAGAAATAGTCAGCTTGAAATGTTTAAATGGCTGAACCAGCAGATACTGAAGCATTTCAACATACTTAAACAGAAGAATTATGTATGTGGATATGGGACATTTTCACAGAATCATTTGATGTACTGTTGCTGGAGAACTATTGAAACTCTAACACTATATCAATTACTAAAGAACATTGAAGTTAAATGGACAGAAGTCTAAATTAATGGGGGGAAAAGAGATTACATTTCCAAACTCTAAGATCAAAATATGAATTCAGCAGTTTGGTATGAAAATGCAGTTTTTTGAGACTCTTGTCTTCTTACAGCTCAAACCACTCAGCAGTGATGTAAGGGAATTAGTGTAAATATGATCTCTGTGTACCATGACTAACTCGAACATCTTGTTGAGGCCTACAGGCTTTACATAAGCCAAACGTATCTGCACCTCTGATCTCAGCCACCCAGTCAGCCATAGCCAGGGGTGTTGGCTAGCTGTATGTGTGTTTGTGTGTTTGTGTGTTTGTATAAGCGAGAGAGTATATTTCATTCTTGGAACACTTGAGAAAGAAGGGACGTCTTGTATACATGTTTAATGTACAAGTGAAGTAGAGGTAGCATGAGTAAATCTCTGTATGAGTGTTTCGCATTGCCTGTCAGTGAGGGTAGTGTGTGTGTGTGTGTGTGTGTGTGTGTGTTTGTGTATATACTTGTTTTTCGAAGCATGACTCGTGTCCAGAAGCCCCCAGGTAGGGAACACACTGTAACATCTAATAGCTCCTGATAATCGTTCAGTGCTTGGAGCCAAACAAGGTCTCCTGACTCCCATTAGTAGCGCTGCACTGACACACTCACACACTCACACACTGTACTTGCAGCCCACCATCCCACAATATGGCCCTTTATCAGAGCCAAAACACTGCCAAAACAGGCATTGATCCATGAGTCACTGTCCTCAATTTCTCTAAAAATAGGATCTTTTTGTAAACCAGATTTGCTGTCCAAAATCACACAACTCAGCCTTTAGACGCTGTGAGTGGAAAACCGTCTCTAAACACGCTCTGGCTTAAGGTACCATATGCACCCTCACATATCACTCCGCAAACGTGCAGCTGATGTGTTCAATTATTTGCTGTGTGTGCTTTATCCGCATCACTTAAACTAATTTGACCCCGGGTAGAGATGTCTGCCGGAGCTTGTGCTTAAACGTGTGTTGTGTTAGCTACCTGTAACAGGCAGCAAACGTTACATAATCGTCCAGAGTTCAATATCCTGCCCATTTCCTGCCTCTCTAGGTGAGACTTTATATCCCGGCTTCCATAGATAAATATTCCCCGCAGAGAGATGGGGTCTTTGGAATGTCGGACCGTCCCCCTCGTTGCACAAACGGGAACATATTGTGACGACAGCTGATGAAGAGAGCATGGAAAGGAATTGACAATACAATAGTGTAGACTATAATGTGTAATTAGCAACTCTCTTTAATGGACTTGAAAGTGATTAGATGAAAAGAATGGGGTCCTTGCACTTGGAATATTTGATGCAGTGATACCTGTCACACATGTTATCAGCAAGGGCATGTGCACGCTAACTTGCAGGGAGGAACGAAGGCTCGCGGTGCTAGCACTGCTAACGTTAGCCACGCTTGGTAGCCCAGCTACGTCATTTACCTCCAGACAATTTTAAATAAATTGTGCTCAATTTAGACTGTTTTTCGCTGTGTTTTCTTTCCTTTAGACATTTGTTGAATTACAATTTGATTTAATCAAGTAGTCACCCAAGAGCGTCCTAACGGATACAAAGAAAACTACACAGAAGGCAGAGCACATATTAAAGGACTTATAACTTGGGGAAGGTGGTTTTAGAAGTTGGAAGCAACTACAACAGCAAGTTTGTTCCCTTTTGTATAGACATGGATTTTCTAGGGCCTTAGTCAGAAGACCCCGATGATCTCAAATTATCAGGAGACACAATGACATGAATATAAAGTCAGTTCTGTGTTTTGTGGTTAACCAGACTGGCCAACCCTTGTGTTTGGGTAAGACAGTAAACTGTTTTTTTTTTCCCCAGATCTTCAGAGGATAAAACAAATTTGATATTGTTGATTTATCTAAGTTGGAAAGAACAGGATGGGACCACTTTGTCTGGCACTCAAAGTTCAGATGTTGGTCAAAGGAAACGTCTAGGTTATTTTAGGCTCCCTTCACAATTGCTACAAAATGACTAATGTAATAGGTGTTTCAGAAAGGCAGAAAGGCACTCATGGCCTATAATGGGGACTTCTCTTCATTCAGGGTTAATTTAGAGGAAGTAATCTAACTTCCACTCCTTTATAGCTGGTAGGAAGTCTTGCAACATCAAGCAATCAGTACTGTGCAGCTTGTCTGTGCTTTCACGGCTTTGGGACAGCTCATGAGAGCCCCTACATTACACTCCTGGTCCCCTTGGGCCTCTCTGAGCACATGGGAACAGAGTTTAAGTTGTTGACAAGCACTCTGATTGCCAGAGAAACTGGAGACCTCTTTGGAAAGCATGTTGCTGAGAGACAATGCATGGATTCTGGCTCATAAGGGACCCTGAACAGTTTGACTTCAATTGAAGAAGCAACTGGGCCAAGTTGGCTGCCGAAGCCCTGAGATCGGAAAATGTGAAAGTGAAAATATGTTGATCTGTAATGTGCAAAAGATTATTATATGTAAGTATATATAAGTATATCAGGGTCAAGACCAAGCACATGTTGAAGTCATCAAGATTGATAAACTCCTGAAACAGATTCCTACATGAACGCAGAATCTAAGATTCCGGTAATTGAAGTGTTCTAGTTTCCATTAGTAGTCAGTTTATGGAGAAAATAGTCTTGCTTGTTATCCATTTGAGAGAGCTTTGGTTGCATTTAGGAAAACACAGATTGAAGGCATTGATTAAAATGCATCTCAGAGCCTATTGGCTATCCTCTGACTGTGATTTAGCTAAAGTTACGAACCCATCGGCCATTGTCCAAAAACGAGGAATCTATCTGTTTGTCGAAATAATTCTAAAAGTTGCTAGTTGGACATAATGGCAAAATACATTGAAGATAAATGTGTGGTGCTATCCCTTATCCCTCAAAGGCTAAAGTGAAATCAGTTAATGGCTGACTATTTCCAAGATTGGCTATCTCAAATCAACATGTACATTTTCAAAGACGAGCAAACTGATACCAGAATTGTAAAAATCCTCAGCAACAAAAATAGAAGTCCGAAGCACCTAATGTTGGGTAGTTTTTCTATTTTTTAAATAACTTAAACTGCAAGCAACTCATGCACACTTTTTCCATTGCACAATTGCATTGACAACATTTCACTACCACAGTATAGCCAGTGTATTAATGCAATTAAGACTCTCTCTTTTAGTTCAAAGATGACTGAAGATCTGTATTTAAAAAATCGTTGGCACTTCGATTCTTACAATCACTAAAATAACAGAGATGGTATTGTTTTAAAACACATGGTATCGAAGAATCCAACATTTTGACAACCTTTGTGCAAACGGTAGAAGGAAGCCAAGACACTTCAAAGTTTTTCCTGTGGCCAATTGAACATTTGGACTTTCTATCACCTGTTGTTCTTGAAACCTTGACTTGAAATCCATATGTGTGTAGGTGTCTCCCAATCTGTGAACTCAATCATCATCGTCATTGAAACCTTTTAGGAGGTTTTGACCCTTAAGCCAGGCTTGTTGCATGACAGCGGGGGAGCTGAAATATGTAATTTCATCTACTCTTTCAACAGGTGCCTCTGCAAATGCAATCGCCTGCCAAACACAGGGATCTGTTCTTGAACCCTGGATTTAGTCAGTATTTGGGTCTGCGGAGAAAAAATATATTCCTCAACAGATGTTTGTATCAAGAGGAACAACTCACAGAAATATACCTGATACACTGCTGGGAATTCCTGTCCTCTTTTAGCTTGAACACAATTGTAAATCATATTTAATGTCACCAGACATGAGGAATGCACAGTGCAGTTTAAGTGTGTAATTTCTGTACTAGAATGACAACGCTGACCTTAAATTGTCGCTGCGATGTACACGGCTGGAATGTTTTTACCCAGATTAGGACCATAAGCAGAGGAGCACTAGGTATGCAAACATTGTGCTCAGTGCATTTATACAAATATTAACGTCAAGTCTATTCATAACACAGGCCTGCTGTTTGCAGTTTGCACTTAAAGAGGCTTCATTCTTTGCCGTCTGGCTTCTTATCACAAGATTATAATACCAGTCATCAGCTGTAATTAACTTCCAGAATTATTAGATGCAGAAAGCAGAAACAGGCCACCAATCCTTTAACTCTGAGAAACTACTTTAAACATGAAACTATTCAGAAAGGGTACAGAGATACAGGACTTGAACCTCCCAACAAACCTAATGTTGTAATCATTTTTCATTGGTCCCAAAACAAGAGGAAAATTACAGTACTTTACTCCAGCTCGTGAAACTGCCAGACTAAATGTTGCATTGGACCCAACATGTTTCTGAGGGCGTGTCGGCGGCGGCTGTAATTCAGCCGGGCCAGAAAGAGGCAGTTAAGTTGTTAATCTCAGCGTCAGGATCTGTCTGGCATCGCGTCCTGAGCGTGTCAGCCGGCCAGTTTGAAAACACAAACTGAGTGGTACAGTGCGCTCTATTGTTTTTGTTTCAGTTCAGCTCTCTCAGACTGAGCTCAAATATTGGCAACGAGTGCTGTAGCTCAGAAACAGAAGTTACTATGGGAATTATAACTGACTTTTGAACAACCTTTATATTCCAAAAAAAGATAGAGTGGAGCTACTTGAGTGTTAATGATCCATAAATCAGTGAGTTTGCTGATCTGCAGCTTATTTTTATGTCCAGCGTTTAAATGAATTGGGTTACTAGACATAATAAGGGGATTTTATGTCTTGGGACAATCAATTCAGGCTTTTCCAAGAAACTAGTTTGACTGGCTTAATCAACAGAAAGGGTAATTTGCTTTCAGTGCCATGCAAATATAGAAGCAACATTTCACAAATGCAGGGATAGGGTGGCAGGAAAATGGATTTTACCAAATCAAGAAGACACACAGAGAGAATTAACGAGCACTTACTGTGCTGTGAATGACCTTGCAGTAAATGATGTTGTAAAAGTACTTGAGGAAAGTTATGTAAGCAATCAGAACGCCCCAACAGCTTTAGTTTATGTAAGAAGCTCTTGGTAGAAGGGGATCTTAGCACATTTAATGTGAGGGTACACTTTGATTTAGCATCAGCAGTTATTATTCCAAGTAGAAAACAGAGTCTTTGAGACAAGTCATGAATCTGTTTTGACCACATTAAGAAAAAAACTACTTTTTGATCGTCTTCTCCATTTTAAGATCAGAAAAAACCCAAATAATATCTCCAAACTTTTTCTTACACAGCTATCTTATTCTGCTCTTACAGTATATAGCATGCTTAAAGTTTCCATCTTTCGTTGATGTGCAGAAACAGGAACAACAACAACAACACTCCACCAGCACTGTAAGCCCCGTCTAAACAAAGCCAGATGTGAGCGAGGAACACGGTCTCTGTTTTCCGCAGTGCCTTCAGTTGCTCGTGGCACCACGCTTCCTCTGATTGGCCCGGACAAATTGATCTCAGACAGAGCCCCTTGAAAGCTATTGGGGAGTGCATTTCTTTACCTGGGGCAATGCTTCATTGTTTCTCTTGTTTCTCTTTCTCCATGTTATGAAAGCTAAGACAGGTGGATAAGGCACGATGTTGTGACCCCACTGTGGTGGACTCGATCGCCTCGTCGATTAAGTCTTTATGAGGACGTTGTTGTATGTCGCTGAGGTGCTATGTGAAACAATGATGTAAGCTGGGTTTGAAACAGAATGAAAACACAGTGCAAAGAGGAGATGCAACAGTCAAAGCCTGACTTCTTTGTTTGTTTCAACCCATGAAGGTTTTTGAGAAAATGGACCAGATAATGATGTTACTGGGTTTAGCACCTGGCTGGCTTCTTGGTTTAAAGTGTAAAGAATGTCAAGATATTGGCATGAGCTGAACATTTACCAAAAGTTTAGACAATGTCTGTAGTACATCAAAGTCTTGTGTTCATCTTTCAATAGATTTGGTTATTACCAGAGTACGTGATTTGATCCAAGGCTTCTGCAAAGGATCAACATCAGAATCAGTCTACATAGGGGCATAGATATTCCATCATCCATTTTCCCATGCCTATGGCCGACTGACAAAAGACCTTAAAGTTGCAGTAGTCTTTGGTATTATGAAGTATGATGTGAAGAGTCTACATTCCCTATCAATCACAAGCCCATTCAATGATCCAGCAGTGATTTGTGAGCCAGAGAGAAAAGGCAGAAGCGTTCATGTTCTCCCTTGTCCCTGCTGAGTTGACCGTAAACTTTGACTTTGGCCAAAAAAACAAAGGAATGATCACTAAAGATGATGGTACTTACAAAACAATAAAAAGTTCGAAGAAAAGACGGGAAAAATGGAGGTTTAGATGAAGACAAATAGTCAAATCTGTGAGTGAGGTCCAAAACTCTTTCTGCAATTACCTTCGATTGTAGTAGGTGCTGCCAGACAGAACGAAATGAGAACTTCCAAGATTGCTTGCATTGTTTTCATCATAATGTGCTATTTGCTTGCATTTAAGCATGCAGAGCTATAATGAAGGGTTTTCTTTGAAAGTGAAGTGCTTCATTCTGTCTTCTTTGTTCTTTGTTTTCATGCACAGGAGCAAGAGGACCCCAACAAACTGGCCACCAGCTGGCCCGACTACTACATCGACCGCATCAACTCCATGGCTGCTGTAAGTCAACGACATTGTTTGGATGTCTTTTACCCGTGGATGAGAAATGTCCTTTGGTAACTTTGAAGCTCCTGTGAGGAGTTTAGTTGGTTATTAGAAAGACTGAATGTTTTACTGAAGACCTATAAGAAGGCTATAGTCCTCCAAGCGGTCCGACCGGCTTCAAATCCAACCTGTGGCTCCTCTCCAGCATGTCGTTCCCCACTCTCTCTCTCTCCCTCTCCGTTTCAGACTCTATTCATTGTCCTGTCTCTTAAAACATAATAAGCCCAAAAATAAACCTTTAAAATGAAGCAAACAAAACTTAACAATTCCTGAAACTGTGACTCCAGTGCAGAAACTGCATTTTTTTTAAATTAAATTTCCATGGTGAAGATTTTAAATGAGTGATTTGTTTGACTGATAAAAGAGTGGAGGATTCTATTTTTTCATCAGAGTATTACTTTAGCATATACAGGACAAGATCAGCAACAAGATAAAACGGATATCCAAGATCCACCCAAAATGAAAGTTCCTCATGGTAACTTTAATTTGACTATTTTAAGGACACCCCCCCCCCTCCTCCCCATTCCTAAGAGGTCAGTGTTCACTCAGTCATTCTTTCTCAGACTTCTCTGTTGGCTCTCTTTTATCGCCTCCCTGCTGACTGCTTGTTATATTCGCATGACCACATTCCTGCGCCGCGACCCCAGCAGTCACACACACTGTGATGACAAACAGGCCACTCAGACACTCAGCAGTTCAGTCAGTGGGAATGACTGTCAAGCACACGGAGCAAAGCCAGGATGACAATATTCATTATTTACAGCGAGCATGGCTGCCAATAAAAACTGCATGATACCATCATAATACGGCCGTCAGTCCTGATCCCAGTATCGTTTGAAACATGGATTCTCATTCTTTTATACATTAGGCCACTGACCAGTTCTCGACCAGTGAACCTTGACCCGGAGTCCTTCTGTGGACTGATGGTTGGCTCCTGAATGTTTTGAGATCATAAAACATGACATCTTTAGGGGGGGCTGTTTAAGGATGACATGCAAGCATGAAAATTTAGAGACCAACAAGTCACTGATGGAGACTCTAAATAAGAGAAAGAGCCTCAGTCAAGGACTTTTCCACATTCCACTGAGTTGATTTTTGTTGTTTGTTTCCCTTATCTAGCAAAGGAAACACTTAATACATCTTAACACTTAAGTCTTTCCAGGCGATGAATCAGATTAAACTGTTCGCAGACTTCCTTAAACATAATGGGATTTCATATCTCTTTATTGCCATATTATTTGTTTTTCATAGAAACATGCCTGTAGCAGCGACCCATGTTGAATGTTACTATTTTTGCGGCTGATTTTGTCTACAAGCGACACTCAAGGGACGAGAACGAGATGCTTCTATAAGTGGAGCTGAGTGTTGAAGTCTGGAGAAACTATTTTATTGTCATTCTCTTACAGACTCAGACACACACACACACACACACACACACACACACACACACACACACACACACACACACGTACAGTTAGTATTTTAAGTATAGCTAAGAGAAACTGCTGATTTGTGAGTTGCCAAGAATTTATAATCTGCCCAGGCAGCAGCAGTGGTGTCTCTATGCTATTTTATGTCAGACACTTTTTAGAGTTATGCTTCTGTCTTTTTTTTTCTTGTATAGTAATTTATATATCTACTGCACAACAACCTTAAACTACGAGGCTGTCACTCTTTTTTTTTTGGAGTTCACAGTCATTGAAGTTTTAAATTCTCATGTGTAATGGTAAAGTAGTGCCAGGCATTCTCCTGAATATTACCTGTGTTCCCTTATTCGCTCACCTACACTCCATGCTTAAATTTTAGCCAGGGTCTGTCCAGTAAAGATGGGTGAATATTTTTTGCCTTTTGCGTTCACACATGCAGCTCACCCCTAAAATTTTGGGGGAATTTACAGTAGTTTTGTGGATGTGTTAAAACAGCTTCATATTCAACACATACAACATACATTTTATTCCATTTAGTTTTTCATGCTTGCACTTTCTTGTTCCAGCTCTACTTTATCAGTGTCCCCACTTTTAATCACAGCATCAATAATTTCCTCCCCTCCCTGAATCATTTTTTCACTCTCACCATAAATCATCAATTTTCTCCACCATCCACCCCAGACAGCGTCTTGACATGAACACCCTTTTAAGTTTGGAGATTCTCTGCTCGTCCATGACTTCATGTCTTGGCGAGCTCACCGGGGGCAGCCCCTCCAACAGTAGCTGAGTTATTGGATGAGCTCATTTTTGCTTTGCCGCCCGGAGAGCTTACTGTTCAACCGGCGTCTTGATGTTCATTCATAAAAGCATGTCAGAGCCCTGAGGTCGTTCGTTGGTCACAGTGTGATAATTCAAATGTTCTTGTTACACTGACAAAAGTTTCTTTCGCCTTGCTGAATACGAACCAGTGTTGAGCTCCTTACAGCACAAGGCTTTGTGTAGATAGAAGATAAAGAAGATTTAACACACAGGGAAGCAGAAGGGATCCTTGTGATGATGTGAAGAAATATTGAGAATGCAGCCGTTGAACTGTTGATCCTCCACCTCAGAAAAGACGGCTCAAATCAGCTTTGCAAAGTGCTTTTGCTTATTCATTAAAGTGCAGCATTGACGAGTTTAAAACAATGATTCATCTCCAAATCTGGGCTTAAAGACTGAATGGTGGCATTGTGTTATTATCACCCTGCAGCTTTTACAAATGGGCTACTTTTAGACACACTACAAAATGACTAAAAAATGTTTGGGATATTACAGAATGGTATGACTTCACAACCAAGTGCCAGTAAATCTGTTCAAACAAAGCTGCTAATTCCTCTTGTTTCCAATCACTTCCAGTTGTTGGTTTTTGGCCAAACAGGAACAATAGCATAGCTTTCAGCAATCATTTTGTTAGCTTAATGAGGTTTTGTGCCTTAACTTTTGCATGATTATTTTGTTCAAATAATGCAGTTTGCCTTCATTTTCATTCAAAAAATGCTTTTTTTTTTTGCTTGGCCCAACGTGACCCACATGGACCAAATTAAGGTTTTGATGAGCTGCACTCATCACTCACTCGGTTAACGACGCACTGACGACTAGCTTGAGGGCACAGTTCTGGCTCTGGGGGGCACTTCCCATAATAAGGATTTAGGGAAGTACGTTGTGCTGGTTTACTGACTGCCTATAATAGTATCCGTATGTGCATGTTGGCCACGGGTTCGATTGAGCTTACAAATAGCAGATGTAGGGGGGAGCGAGTTGGCTAGACTCATTGACACGGTGAACTGGCCCGCAGCACGACCGAAGCATTCACTCTCCCCGACACTTGTTGTGTCCAACTTCCCATTGACTATGAACATATTGGTTGAGAGGAACAGGAGCCAGAGCCTTTTTTCCCCCTTGGCACTGGACACACAAACCATCTGTACTTAGGACTAAAGCTACAGGATGGATGTTTAGACTGAACTGTTTCTGGACTATACACTCACACAACAGCCAGACCACTGACCAGATATATTGAGATATGGCAATGTGTCTCCACCTCCTCCCATTGTACAAAAGTGAAGCTAAATTACCCCCCAATGTTAGGGCCGACATAATCGTGCATTTGGATCCAGAGTCTGCGCAGTCTGCAAACGTCAAACCCCTTTCTGTTCACAAAGAAAAACACACTTATCTTACCAATAAAACAACAAAGATCCCTCTGGTTGGTACAGTCCACAGAAGAAACGATTCTTGTGTAGGTTTACTGAAGGTTCAATGAGCCTTGTGCTAGTTTCCGTTCCTTTTACTCCTCACTGCTCCTACTCTGCTCTGCTAATGTGATGCACAGGGGAGCCACACTTGTCAACAGAGCTGTCAGTTATACTATAAAACATCTTTTATTAGCTTTAAATAACTAATTAAACTTCTTAGAGGGCATAAATCAGCATAATAAGAACTATTGTGACAGAAACATTGACGTGTATTTTGGTGGTTAAGTTGGTACAATCTGTTAACATCAACATTCACATCCAGTAGGCTTTAAGGTCTACACTGCAGCCACTCAGTAGGAGCAGCACCAAATGATTTGGCTTCCCTTTTGGAGAGCTGTGTTTAAGTGCAGTCAATGAGCCTTTCTTAAACCACTGCCTACATACTTCCACTCTGTTTGCACTTGTGTGTGGAGTGTCCACCATCACAAACTCTGAGGGTGGAGTGAGAGTTGGGTGTTAAAACCCTCCAACAGTGGGGTACTAAACGGGTGTAATGCGATTGACGCTCTGTACTTGTTCCGCGATGTCAGCCGCAAAACTTAAAAATAAGATAAAAACAGTTGCATCAAATAGATGTTAAGATCAAGACGTTACCATTATTATCAGGATCTGATTAATGATTCTCTAGTCTACTAATGTTTAGAGGGACCTAAAAAACAAAGCAGTAAGATACTGTATAAATACCAGCTTCAAACAAGAAGTTATGACGAATGACAAATATGACGTTTTTTTCTCCCTCATATTGCGGAGGGAGTCAGATGGAGGTCACTCTGTGTCCGAGCGTGGGTGTAGAGCATTTTAAGAAAGGCCCTCTGGGTCAGACCAGAGTGCTGTGTGGTTGTTGTAAGTCCCTAGAACCCTTTCTTGTTATGGAATATTCACAACCAACTTAAACTTAATGTTTTTAATTATTGGAAAAGAGAGTCACATGAGGCCTTTTTTTTATCAGGAAAATGACTGGACATTCACAGTGACTTGTTAATTAGCTGTAGTGAAACACACTCTGTATGAATCTTTGCACTTGGCAGTGAGCTGTAAGGAGCCCCGAGAGGCTAAACAGAAGGCCTGTGGCCCTGACTAATGGGAGCACAGCAGCTCTTTGATGTTGCTGATGGGAGGCTTTTAGTGACGCAGAAATGCATTAACACCACATATGGTCAAAGTGTTACTTTATTTCATCTGTTGTAAACTGGATTGGAAGCTAATTGCCTGATGACATGACTTATTTTGGCGTCTTGCGTAGCTTCAAACACATGGTCTATTTGTGTTTCCTGGAAGGAGAGCCTACCACACTGCAAAAACTCAAATCTTAGTGAGTGTATTTCTCTCATTTTAGTCAGAAATCTCATTACACTTGATATAAGCTACATTCAGCTGACAAGTCCAGGTAAACATCGTATTTCAAGATATAAAGAGCAAAAAATATGGCCTGAAGTATTACATTTTACGTGTCTGGGTCTTGAAACAAGTTGGTAAATGGACGCTTTTCTAGTCTTCCTACTACTCAAAGTGCTTTTACACCGCAGGTCACACTCACACATTCACACACTGATGGTAGAGGCTGATATGTAAAGTGACCATCAGTATTAACTCATCCCATTCATACACATTCATACTCCGCAGAAGGAGCAATTTGGCGTTAAGTATCTTGCCCAAGGGTTAGGGTCACATCAGACATGTGGCTTCAGGAGCTGGGGATCGAACTCCCAACCTTCCAGTTGAGAGATGACCGACTCTTCCAACTGAGCCACAGCCGCCAATAACTACTAATTTAGAAACAGAAATCTCGTTTAAGGACACCTTAGTAAAATTTGATTGCTGCTTTGAAAGATATTTGTTCGTATTTCAAACAGTTCTGGCCTCAGTTTTTGCTTGTTATATTTTTCAATAGGGTGTTTATCTGTCAGGTGAATGTGGCTTATATTACAGTAAGTTAAATTAGGCAAATACATTGGTAAAACTTGAGTTTTTGCAGTGTAACAGGCTCAATTTCTCCATCCACTAATGGAAACAAACAACTAAACTTGAAAAGTTGAACTTGAAGCATGTAGCTTTAGTGTTGTTGTTTTATTGCTGCCAAATTAATGAGAACATTCTCGTGTTGACCGAGTAGAAACAATAAAAGTCTCTTAATCCAAAGTGAAATAATTATTTTCCAGCAAGTAGCTCGCCCAGTTCTAACTGTGGTAAAGCCAAGTGGTTCATAAATCTGCTGTTTCCACTCGATTTCATCCGTGCTTCTCACCACCTCTGCAGATGCAGACCCTCTTTGCCTTTGATGAAGAGGAAATGGAAATGAGGAACAAGGTGGTTGAAGATCTGAAGACAGCGCTTCGCACTCAGCCAATGAGGTAAGAAAATCTCTCCCTACAGCTCAAATGTGACCCTTATCCTGTGCTGCACACTGAAGAGAGCCCTCTTGTTAACAGTGATGATGCTTTACACATCCTGTTTCCTACCTGTCAGACATAGCATTGTTAAGAAGACTTTGTTTCATAGTTTCACAGTCCTGCTAATTCTGGTTCTCCAGTTGAAAATCAACCAATAGAAGAGAGATGTTGTGAAGGGTGTCAAGACAAGACAGGTCTCAAACAGTATTCATTATCTCTCTTTTCATAACGTTTGGAAGAATATTGCTCTGACATTTAAAACAGTGGGACAGAGCGATAGGTCTCATCCTGCAAACCCACGCCTACAGATACAGGAAATTACTTTCAGTATGGTGTCTCCTTTCTGAACTCTCCAGCTCCTCATCTCTCAGCTCTCCTTTAAGTCATGCATTCGGGCTCTTTGGCATGTTGAGTTAATGCCAAAAATATTCAGTCCAGTTAAAGCAGCATGCTACAAAAATATTTATTTTCCACGAAGCCTGTCTCTTGTCACCGGAGGATTACAGGAAAAAAATCCCTTTTAATTACTTCCAATTGAAAGGCGTCCAATTAGTATTATTTTAAGACCCACACCCTTATTTTCCCCCCTTTTGAAAAGGTCATCAGCAGCTGTGGCGCGTCACTCATCAGCACAAAGAAACATTCAAGGACACTGTACAGCCCTCTAACACAACCCGCCTCCCTCGCCCTGTCAGCAGCTCCTTTAAAGCTGTCCATCAGCCTGTGTCAGTCGGATGATGCAGTTGTCTGGACCGTGGCGTGGTGCTGACTTTTCTCAAGGGAAGCTATGAAGTGCTAGACGTAATGTGTAGAGTGACAAAAACCCAGGATAGCCTCAGAGTCTGGGTCACGTCTGGGTTGTGTGTGTGTGTGTGTGTGTGAATAGTGTGGGGAAGGCTTCCAGAGTGATGGGAAGATGTTCTGATAAAGAGAGAAGCTTTAGAAATGTTGCTTGTGTGGTATAAATATACATCTTAAATATGCATTCAAATCCACTTAGAATAAAACATTGTATGTGATATATTGAGACCAAACTAGGGTTGCTGCCTAACCTAAATTTGACTCTTTGATATACAGTAAGACGAGCAAAAACAAACAATATCGATACCTGTTTCGATACCATAGCAACAACAAATCTAATTTGTAGGTAGGCTCCAATATTGGGTTATTTCTTGTCTTTAATCACCAAAAATTGCAGTCAAACGCCTTCACACTGTACAAACTGTGCAAATATGTTGGCAACATTTGAGTAGCCAAACACTGCCAACGTATTTGTACAAATTAAACAGTACTCTCCTTGTTTTTGTAGAACAGCAAAGGTTAAAAATATGATGACCATGTGTGTTTTTTTTAAAAGACAGAGGGTGTATCATTTTGAAACACTTGGTATATAACAGTATCAAAGTATGGAACATTTAAGACAACTTTGAACCAAACATCCTTGAGTTAGACGATTCAGTCTTGAGTTGAATAAATTGAGAGGATATTATGTGAACAAGGCCCGAGCCTACACCAAATGTTTCAATAATTCCAGATTTATTTTTTGAAATTGTTCCACAGGTGGTTTTTAAAGCTCCTTTAAGGAGTAGTAGCAATGTACATCATTGTCCACTGGAAAATGATCAAATAAGTGATGTGTTGGACAGTAAAGGAGGAGGAGGAGTTTGTCTGTTTAAGAGAAACAATGTTCATGTACATGAAGACTTGAGATGTACAACTTTGTCCACTCACGTCGCCAAAATGGACTCAAACTCAAAGTTTCTCACAGTGACAGAGAGATACTGTATACACTCTTAAAATCACCTACACCTGCTACCAGTCAAATCATGGTCAGGAAAGAAAATCCCCATTAGTAGATTAATGTCTTGTGATAACATTTCACAATATATGGTCACATTTAGGTAAGCCTGGTGCAGTACATGAGCTGAAACTTCAGTGAGAAACTCTTCACTTCAATAATGCAGGAGCTGTAAAAATGTCTGCTTCTTTTATTTATTTGACGTAATCCCCACAGTTCTCACTCCTCTGTTTTAAATCTTAAATTAGAGTTTCACGGCCACTAAACAGCTTTTATTCACATTTCTGATGACTGACACTAGGCAGAGTTAAGAAGACGTCTGTTTTAGCAGCTCATTATGCAGGTCAGATGTTTGCTAATTTAGACATGATAAAAAAATATGTGTTTTTGAAAGCATGTAAAAAGGGAGAGTAAATAGCCTTTAGCACAGTTTCAGACAAATGAGGTCACTAGTGCTTCATTCTTTGATTTAGAAGGTGAGCATGTTTTTTGTCACCCTGTGTTCTCTCTGATTGGTTGAATTAACTGTATTATAATCAAGTGTACTTTATTTACTTCATCAAAAGGAGCTTTAATGCTTCAATCCACATTATTCAGCATTGCACCTGCTCTCGTGCTCTGCACAGAGTGAGTTATTGCTCATTAGCACATAAAATGTTTTTTGTACTGTATAGCAGGTGCACAGAATATGGGTGTTCAGGGAGAGCATGTGCAGTGTGTTAATGTCCCTGCAAGTCAGTCCTTTGAAAGAAAAAAAAGGGTGGATAAGTAAAACAAAAAAACAGAGAGGGGGATTTGTATGATTTAATGTAATCACCTAAACGTCGCCTTTGTGTGTCGCCTCTGTGTCCCTCTGTGTGTGTGTTTGTGTGTGTGTGTACGCCTTTATTGAAGCTTTTGTAAGACATGTTTGTGTCTGTATTCAGCTTTGATTCATTTCTGCCTTTGGATGCCTGCCTATAGTGCCCCCCCCTTCCCTTCTTTCTGGCGTTTTTGCGAGGCAGCTGGGCCTGGTTGTAAAGAGGTGCCCTTGTGCCTTCAGCCCGCTCCGCAGGGACACAGAACCCAAACACACGGAGGGCATGCAGGGTGCCAGGCAGAGCGCACAAAAACAGCACAGTGTCAGCAAGCCACCCACTGCTGTCCCCTTTCATTCACAGGCTGATTGTATCACATTTAAATGACAAGGTGACATGTTGGGGTCATATGTTCTGCTGTGGGTTACATCAGATGAAACTTTGGCAGGAAAATGTTTCATTTTTCATGTCACAGAAGCAGCGAGACTCTTGATGTCCTTATCAGAAACTGTCAATCCAAACTTTATTTTAAAACCATAAATTTTAAAAGTTGTTCACTTCTTGAGTAATGCAGACAGACTTGACAAAGGCATGAGATTTTAGTTGTACAGTCTTTGCATCATGAGATAGTTTTGGCATCCCTTGCAACCCGTTACTTTCCATGAAATCACAGCACAATCTGCTCTAAGAACATGCTGTATTTTCTGCCTCCTAAAGCGAACATATTCTTATCATGTTTGTTATCTGTTACTATGCTTTCCTCTCGGCATGACAAACTGTACAAATGGACGCAAACAGACATGTCCTGTTGTCGTCAAGCTCCAGAAGCGTTGTCGGTAATGTCGGGGATGTAAAACACGAGGCGGAATGATGACGAGTTCAACAAAACTTGGACTGAATTAAACAAAGCCCTCACTCAGTTATAGGAAACAGCAGGTCAGGCAGGTACGTTCCCGCTGCTCTACTCCATTTGAATTTCACCAGAAATTGTTTTTATGGCTGTGATCGTCAAGCAGATTTAAAGGCACAGATGTTTTATTTAAAAAAAGAAATTGGATTAATTATAAACAGCCATAAAAAGTGAGACATTTGGATAATTTTCTACATCTCTCTGTTATGCAATTTTACAGCTTATCTAATTTTCTCTGCCAGCAGTTGTTGCTGTGTTTACCAGCTGCCAAATGGAGCATGAACCATCACGCTGCAGTCATGTGTTTACTCACACAGCGCTGATTTTCAACTTAAAAGTGCATGTTATAGTCCTTATACAAACACAAACTACCACAGCTGGAAGTGTAGTCACATCAAGTCTGAGCAGTTTGGTGTACATTTCAATCCAGCTTCCAAACATTCAAATATTTAAACTCTCTTGAGGTATTTAACTGCTTGTTACGTGTACTTACATAAGGGCGGTTAATGTGCATTCATCTTTATGTCCATGCTGATGAGCATACTGTGCGTGCATTCTTGTATCTCTTCTGTGACGCTCCACAATCACTGTCATTTCCGTGCTGAGACGACTGCAGGAGAGCAGGAAATGAAGTTTTCCTGGAGGTCGCTGAGGCCACGCTGGCCCAGAATGCACTGCAAGAATCAGGGGCACGTCAATAGAGCATTGCAATGTTTCCCAAGACACGCACTCTGGACATCGTTCCTGCAAAACTCTTCCAGCAAGAATATTGACTTGGGTCGACTGCAGCCCCCCCCCACCACCACCACCCCACCACCCACCCCACCTCCACCTCTCTCCTGTATCAACAGCGCTGTTGGACGAACCGCTACTACCACATGCAAATATTATCCTTCAAAACATTTGCAGCCAAATCTCTAAAAGGTTCTGCTTAATAGAGAGTGAACTTAATATCTGTGTTAACATATTCCCAAATATCTAAGCGGGGTGTCACACCTTTGCAGAGTGTTGGACGGAGCAATGTTTTCACTCTGTGCAGATTTCTCACCCCTCAGTGCTCAGATATTAAAGAGATGTGGAGAGAAATCAGGGCCAGGTGGGTACAAACAGACAGTTTCAGAATGTCTGAGTCTTCACGTGACTTAGTTTTGGGGGCTCTTTGTAATAAACTGAAAGAAAGGGAGGGGCTGGGAACAGTGCTTTATTTTTCACTCTAGGGGACCCTAAATAAATGTGGCTTTTAATGTCCAGGAGTGCTCAACAACCTACAGAAGTCACTGAGTTTGTTGTTCTCACCTGTCTGAGGAGCATTCAGTGAGCTTTTTGCATGGAGAAATCCTCCCTGATTCACTGTCGTGTTAAATTCTCTGCTTATTCATTTTTAAAGTTGAACACAAGGAGTCCACTTTGGCTATGTACGCACTTCAGTGTTTTAATTTTAAAGCGATATCTGCTGCATCTGTTATTAGATTTCTGAAGCTGAAGTCAAGGTTGGTGTTTGTGAGGAATCAGGTGAGGACACGTTGCCACGGATACAACCCAATTTACAAACCAATGAGGCTGTCTGTCTCAATGTCTCAAAATTCAAATATATTTTTTCTGTCCACATACAACAACATATGTCCTACTCTACTATTTGGTGGCACTTTGCCTCTGTGTTGGACCTTTTTGGTTTTGGTTGACTTATCATGTCACACACATAACATTTGACAAACAAGTGAGCATGCAACTTTACAACTCTGAACATTTTGTAGGGACATTTTGTTTTCTTCGACAACTTCCTCTACACCTTTAATCTGTTTAATATCCAAAGCGTAGCGTGAGAATTGCGGAGCATGCGCAGAAAACCAAGGCCAGTTTGGGGCTGATAGAGATGTAGACACTGGACTTGGCATGATGTCATTCAGACTAACATGTTTACATCTATCATAATAGAATGTTTTTTGTTGGACTAACACAATAAATCATTGTTTTAACATCGTGTGACTGATTGTCAATAAGAGCAGGAAGGTCATGCACACCTCACTGAAGTAGAAGTCTCAGAGTAGATGCCAAATCGCTGTAAGAAGATACATCATGTGGCTTTCACCAAGAGAGTGGTGCATTAGAACTGTGATAAATCAAATGCAACCTTTACCCGAGCTCAAGAGTAAATAATACCATGAATCAACACAACGAACCGTCATTATGTCATCTTCCATTTAATACGATGTTGTAAATTCCATGTACTCTTCATAAACTACTCTGTGGGACATTGTGAGTCACTCAGTGTCTGATTAATGTCTATGTGTGTATGTGTGTGTGTGTTTGTGGTTTAATAAACAAGTCATATGAACAATAGTGGAAACATGGCTCACTTCAGTCTGTGTCACACACCGCAGACTTCTCCCTGTAGATTAAACTATAAACCCATGTCAGGATATACTATACACATCACAGATGTGCACCTTGGCCAGGGCTTTTATTGTTCTGTGTGTGTATGTGAGTTAGTTCTGTGTGTGTTGCCCCTTTGTTCTGCCGTTGCTGTACCACAGTTATACGCCGGGCCTCACATCAAGTTAGATTTACTTGAGCTAACGCGGTGGTGATATCGTATGACTCCTCATCCAAAAAGCTGCAGACACCTCGGTGAAAGTTTAAAGCAGCAGCTCTGCAGAACCTCAGGGCTCTTGTCCACACCGCGGCCCCCTTTTTATAGCAGAACAAGACACGAGTGTGTGTGTGTGTGTGTGTGTCCTGCCTGAGGGTAGGTGAGTGGGTGTTTGAAAGATATATTTCAGTATGTGTGAAGGCGGTGATTAAATGAAGGGCAGAAGTGAGGCAGGGAGCACACGCTGGCTGATGGTTTCTGTTATGTATGTATTTGTGTATTGTATGTATGTATTTGTGTATGTATAAGGCTGAACTTAAAGGCAAAAACCATCTCTCGACTGACTGTCTGTTACACAAGGGTCATCCATAGTTTAAAAAGTCAAGAGTGTTTTGTCTGCACCGCAAAAACCTCAGAAGGTCCAGTCAGTTGGAGGGAACTTCTGAATATAAATGTGAACATCTGGATTAGTTTTCTGCTCATTTAGTGTATTGTCTGCCTGCTAGTGATTGGTTTTATGCTAGTTAGATGAATAGAAATGACATGACCTCAAAGGGTTTTAAACACAACCCTTGCATGTCACTGTTCCTTTAAGTTGATGGAAAATAAAAACAGAAATGGCAAGGCATTACTTTTGAGACTTTATATATACAGTATATCTATATATATTTACTTTAAAGTGTTTTTTTCTCCACTAATATGCGTCTCTCGTCTGTCTACAATCCCCCCCCAAGTATGAGTAAGTTTATCCTCTCCGTCTTCTGCCTGCTCCACTTTTCAGAAAATGTGTGCTCAAACAGGAAGTTTTTGAGATTTTCCCTTCATGACATCACAAAGGGCAGTAGCCCCTCCCACAGCTAGGTGTTTGTTCTGCCTATTAATTCCACCTTCTCACTCTAAACAATTGGGCATGGTGCAAAAAGAGCCACACAGCTCATTCCCATTTAAAGCTACAGACACAGAAACAGCCTGTTCCAAGCAGACATTTTGAGCATTTTAGAAATTTTAGAAGAGTCTTCTAGAAATGACAGCACAATAAACAAAAGAAAAGACAGATGCTGTATGTTCACTGGCAGACATCTTAAATTCAGGTCATGAAGAAGGGTTTTGTTTAAATTTGACTCTGCAGTAAACCTGACTTTAACTTTAACCATCCTTGGCCTTGAATCGACACACACTGCAGTCGTTTTTTGCTCCACCGTCACTTTTGTTTTAGTCTCTTTCAATTCCAAGTTACATTCCTTGCTTCTTTCTTTGTCTGTCTGAAGAAATTAGTGTGCGTATGTGTGTGTGATTGTGTGCTTGTGTGTGGTTGGCCCGGGCTCTGCATTGTTCAGCTCTGTCTGAGCTCATATTGTATGCAGCATGTTGTTGAGCTCTGGCTGTCTTTAACCCAGCCACAGCGGCTTTTTAGGTATGCAGCGGTTGTTCCAAAGAAAAAAAGAAAAAAAAGAAAAGCAAAGGGCCTGCATGACACTCGACTGAGCGTGAATGTCAGTGGATTTGGGAAGACGAGAGGAGACTCCAAAGTCGAAGGCGATGGGATTCATTGATTCAAGTGCTCACTGGAGAGAACATGAAAGCAGGGGGAGGAGGACAGAATAGTAAGATGTTGGCTTACATGTCCTTTACTGTAAAGTCGCTGTTCAACGTTGTTTAAGGAGCAATGCAGATGTGTGAGATATTTGTACATGCATTGATTTATCTCCTTACTTTCCCTGCACAAGCACTTGCAGTTGTTTTTGCCTGCAAAGGATTGTGTGCATTCATCTGTGCGCACTGCAAGTTTCTGGAAAGCTGTCGACAATCCAGCAGAGCGAAGCGAAGCCTTGAATCCCGTCCACCCTTTTGATCCCAGACTCCAAGAGCAACATCTCTCCTCCTCTGCCTCCATACATTAATCACAGGGATGTTCAGCTTAATTTCTCTCCCTCTATGAAACCTCTCTTTCTCTCTCTGAGGTGGCCCTGCGATTAACAGGCAGGCGAATGACTACTGACGGCCAAAGACTTGTCACTGATATAAGATGTGTAACTTTTAACACTTGGATCATGTCCGCCTCGCTCTGCTTCCAGTGTCTGTGTTACATCTGAATCAAGTCGTATCTAGCAGGTTGGATTTATATTTTTGGCCACCTTGGTATTGAGTGGAGGCCAAAACTGAAACGTCTGAAACAAAAGACTATTGGGTTGTGGTTGTCTTATGATTTCACTGCATCATCAAGGAAGGTTCTTTATAAGGTTATTTAAAGTGAATTCAGTTTTCTAACCCAAGGCTGTAAACAAACGGTAAAGTAACGTAAAGAGAGACAGCAGTGTTTTGGAGAACAAAGTTGTGAATCGGAGGAATAAAAAACGGAAAAAAAAACAAACAAAGAGGCAAATAAAGGAAGCTTAATGTTTAGAGGTTGTGTCCCATATATGGAGGCTTTAGTCCTCCAAGAGGGCGGCCCAGATACTGCTGTTGAAGATTTCTGAGGCATTTCAGCATACATCAAAAATGTTGATACCGAATGCCAACACTTTCTTTTATGTTTGATCATGTAAACAGAAGGCAAAAATACAAAAAGGGTCCTCACACTGTATTAAAAGCTCCCAGCAACTTTAATTGTAAAAGCAACAATTCGATCTCACAGACCTTTTTCATGCAGTTTCAAGTCAAGACAACCTGTGAGATCAGAGGCAGACTGTGCATGTGTGGTGACAGTTTTTTTCTTTTTTTGTTTGTGTGTGTGACCAAGACATTTGTTTCTTGAAATATATATAAATAATTGTTTTATATGCTAGATTTGGCAACTTGACTTGGCACCCCAGTTGGTTGCATGCTTGTTGTAGGACCTCCTCGGTCTCATGCTGGCTGCTGCTGATCAGAGGATTACACGTCTGTGAGAGATTTACTGGCCATGCCAGGTAACGTCTGTGTGTGCATCTGCTGGAAATCTGGGACCGATTGTGTGTGAGCTGAGGATGAGCCGTGGCCTCGATGTAAAGGATAATAATTGGATGATTTACATATTTTTGTGTTGTGTTTTTCCTCGCCGTGCCTGAGCCAATTAAGCGGTGGGAGACATTAAAACAATGTGCAGTGTCTAAAATAATAAGAGGCAATAAATCCAAACTCACACACCCTCCCCCTCTGTTCCTCACTGTCCTTTAAACTTTTTCTTCCTCCTGTGTTTGTCCTCGTCTCCTCTCCCCGTCAAGTCATCATTTGTATAAAATAATTCATGAGGCCTCTCAGGAATCTTAGTGAGTGGGAAGGTCATTTACGATACAGCCCACAGTGAGCTCTCTCTAGATGTGATGTTCCTCAGTGTGTGAGGCCTGCCTGTCATTTAATAGGTGCTCTTCTCTCCACCGAAGCTTAATTACTCGCTGGTTCTAATTAATTCAGCTAATGAGGGTCGTCTGTGGGAGACGGGGAGAACTCAGGTTATTTCACATGTATAGAAGCTCTGCATGTTAGGAAGCATTTTGTAGGTTTAACTGTAGACGTGGAGTTGAGAACTCAAAATATAATTTTAAAAATATTTGTGATGAAATTATGCCTAAATTAAAAGTCCATAAAACCACTTTACACAAAGTTCTGGTTCCTGGAATATCTATTAATCAGAAAAATTAGTTTACAAATACTAGGGTCAAGCTCAGCCATACGAGTGTAGAGATGCTTTTTCTTGTTTAAAAAGTTCCCAGGGTCTCGGCACCCTTTTTTAAGATTTTAATTAACACTGTCTTTCCTGTCTTTGTCCTACAGGTTCGTCACTCGCTTCATCGAGCTCGACGGCCTCACCTGCCTCCTCAACTTCCTGCGCAGCATGGACTACGAGACGTCGGAGAGCCGCGTCCACACCTCCGTCATCGGCTGCATCAAGGCCCTGATGAACAACTCGCAGGGCCGCGCCCACGTCCTCGCCCACCCGCAGAGCATCAACACCATCTCCCAGAGCCTGCGGACGGAGAACATCAAGACCAAAGTGGCCGTGCTGGAGATCCTCGGCGCCGTGTGTTTAGTCCCTGACGGACACAAGAAGGTGCTGCAGGCCATGGCACACTACCAGAAGTACGCTGCAGAGAGGACTCGCTTTCAGGTGAGGGGATCTGAGTGGAGGTGCAAGTAGATCCCACCTTACTTAAATTGTGGCATGAGCATACTCGGTGAACCATTCCTAGAGACATTGAGGAGAACAAGATTATTGAAACAGTCCAAGCTGCAAGATGAGAATTGAGAAATGAAGCCAACTAACGTGCTAGCTCCTCTGTAGCGCCACCTTCTCCTTCAAATATCTAGTCTATGGAATGTATGACATATGCAGTAGTTGTGCGTGATTGTTCAATAAATCAAGCTGTGGTCATTAAAATGAGTTAGAAACTAATACTGCAGCACCTCAGACTGTCTGCCTGGGGTTAAGTCAACACTGTTGCCTTATTAAAGGCAGGTGAGGACAACCAGAGTTATTGAGGTCAGCTAGTCTTTAGTGCTTTAGTGACTAGCAGCACTGTGTCAACAAGCTACGTCTCGAACGCCCCCCCAGGGTTTGTGGTAAATCATGCCACCTCAGGCTAAACTAACAGCACAAGAGCTGAGTGATTCTGGACCCTTTCTTATGTCGGTTTGAGTTATGACCAGGCCGAGAAGTATGTCGGGGTGTGAGGAGTGAGCACAGTGACCCGCTAACTGCTTCTCTTTAGCGTTATGTTCAAACAACTCACTTTGCATAAATCAAGATTTTTAATGTCTGATCCAGTTGATTACATTCATTTTTTTTTTTACATCAAACATTCTTGCTGACTCACTTTCCTTTGTCTGTCCTGACCGTGTAGACGCTGCTGAACGAGCTGGACAAGAGCACAGGCCGCTACAGGGACGAGGTCAACTTAAAGACCGCCATCATGTCCTTCATCAACGCTGTGCTCAATGCTGGAGCTGGAGAGGTCAGCATGAACACCTACACCACCTTGACATTTACACCCCAACAATTACAGCTGTGCCGTGCACATATCCATGTGTCTTCCACTACCTAAATAAGACAATCCACAAAAGCCTTTTTAATACCTTGACATTGTTTTTGTTTTTTTCTATTTATTTTAAGGACAACCTTGAGTTCCGCCTCCACCTAAGGTACGAGTTCCTGATGTTGGGCATCCAGCCGGTCATCGACAAGCTCCGAGGGCACGAGAACGCCACTCTGGATCGGTGAGACTTGGACTTTATATGCAATCAGCTTGTAAATGATTTTCCACCTTTGGTAACGATGCAGTCGAACAGAGCAGCAAATTAATATCAATCACTTCTTACCTGTAATGCAGGAGCAGCACATGACTTTTGTTTTCTACAAAAGTAATTCAACGACTAACAAATGGCGACCTTGTTATCCAACATAGTGTTGTGACCTGCTACATTACTTCCTGTTAAACAAACGTCCGTGAAACTACACTACAAACTTACATAAAGGGTTAAATCAAGCTGCAGTAAAACTCTCATCTCACTCTGTTATTCCTCTCTGTGAAGGCATTTGGACTTCTTTGAGATGGTGCGAAATGAGGACGACTCCGAGTTGGCCAAAAGATTCGATATGGTGAGTTACCTTGTGAACAAAAAACATCTCTTTTCTTGTCAAACTAATGTTGGTGCCTGTTCCACTTCTGGCTTTATATCTCAAAGAAAGCTGAGTGATGGTCACATTCAGTCATGAAGCCTGCTCACTTACTCAGTGCCGCAGGAAGTTTAATAATCAGAAAGTTCCCACAGAATGTTCTCTGTCTTTGGAGTAAGATGTTCCTCCTGTACTCGGGGGACTAACATGCTCATGCAGATTTAATAGTAACTCACGACTGTGTCTTATCCGAACAGAGTCATGTAGATACTAAGAGTGCTGGTGCCATGTTTGAGCTGATCAAGAAGAAGCTGAGCCACACAGACGCCTACCCCAACCTCCTCTCCATCCTGCAGCACTGCCTGCAGATGCCCTGTGAGTATAGCTGCATAATAAAGAGTTTTTTATTTCCTTTTTTAAAGGTTTCAAATGAAATCAAATATGTTTCGCTGCATGCATGTAACTAAGCCCTATAAAAAAGGCTGTTATATCCCATACATTACCATTAAATCATAAACTGTGCATCAGAGCCAACCTTTCATACCTGACTGTTTGGCTTTGTTTGTGTGACTTCTTCTCAGACAAACGTGGCGGTGGTAGCCTGCATCACTGGCAGCTCTTAGACAGGATCCTGCAGCAGATAGTACTACAGGACGAAAAGGGAGAGGACCCCGACATCGCCCCTCTGGACAACTTCAGTGTTAAAAACATTGTTCGCATGTAAGTGAAAACTCATAACTAACCCATAACAAACAGAGGGAGAGAGTGTAGCTTATGTCATGTTTGCTCTCCAAGGATATCATTAGAAGTTGTTATAGAGGCAAGATATGATACTGTAGTTCATACTATTACAAAAGATAGTTAACGTAAGTACTTCACTTGAATGTTTTTTATGTTTTCTATTATGTCAGAGGTAACAGAGGAGAATGTGCAGGGAAGGTGAGGTGAAGTTGCAGCAGGGGGTCGTGGGTACATTTGTAAGGAAGGGCATGAAAGAGGAAGCTGGAGATCAAAAGGAAATTTCTCCTAATCGCATTAAATGAGCAGATCTGCCAAGTCAGCCGTGTTCAGGTGCGGCGAAGCAGTAACTGCGCTTCATGCGGAGGGAAACATGGAGGAATGATCAATTCATCTCGGAGAGCCGAGCATTAGGACTCCACGTTGATGTTTTCTGTGTGGAAAGACGGTCTGCAGTGACTGTCAAATAGACCGTTGATGTTTGCTGGATTTTGAGGTCTGAGGGTTTACTGACTTCTGAAACAAATCTGAAGTTGTGTTGAAAGACTAAAAACCGGTCCAGGTAGTGTTGAAAAAGCGCATTGTTGCATTTCTGTACGATACGGTGTGTGATTGGTGTGAGTCTCACACAGGGTAGCTTCAGTTTCTCTTTCTGATGTGCTCTCGTTCATTTCTTCATTATATTTCTTCTCTTCCATTTTTCTCGCTTTTTTCGCTGCTTTTAAACCAAGATTTATATCAGTGATGAATTTTGTTTAGCCTCTGTGTCACCATAAAACACGAAGCGTTGCTCCTGCCTGCTCCAACTCTTTTCAGTACTGATTCAGCTTCTCCTGTTTGTGCATCATCATCTCACTCCAGTGAATCGCAGCATGATTCTCTCCAGTAGTGCACAAAAGAGGAACTTGAATGTTTCATCTAAGCCTTCACATGCAGTACTGTCCATGTCAAAGCCTTGGAACCCCCACACTACCTTAGTAAATGGTAAATGGATTTGAGCTTGTATAGCGCTTTTCCAGTCTTCTGACTATTCAAAGCGCTTTTACACAGCAGGTCACACCTACACATTCACACCACATTGACACACTGATGACAGTGGCTGCTATGTAAAGTGTCCATCAGAAGTAACTTATCCCATTCATACACAGTTAAAACTTGGGAATAAATGTTTTGCCCAAGGACACATCGGACATGTGGCTGCAGGAGCTGGGGATCGAACCCCCAATTTTTCAGTTGAGAGAAGTCCAACTCTACCAACTGAGCCCCAGTTGGCAGCACCCACTGGTGACACAAGAGGTGTTAAAGGCCCAATGACAGACGCGTCATATTGAAAGTCATGACTATAACTAACTTTTGGCAAATCTTGAACTGGCAGAGAGGTGAAGTGAGGCTGAATCTTGGTTTCAACGTGCCAAATCAGCCACACCATTCCCTATGTATATATAAATATACATACATCTCTTTCTTAAAACAGATGAGTTTTAAAAAATCATAATTCCAAACACAAAGAAAGAAATGAGCTATATTGGGGAGTCCTGGACCTTAGCAACCAGCCTCGAGTGGACACTGGAGGAAATGCAGTTTTAAGCACTTCCTTATTGGTTTCATTGGAGGCTTGCCGCTAGCATAAAACATCGCTTCCATTCTTGTTGTCTTTCCATTAACTCTCCTAGAGTAAATCACAGAGTTCAGAGGGCTGGAGAAAAAATGCACTTTATGGGTTTTTTTTCTAGGGGGGGGGGCGTTAAAACAACAGCTCAAACAAGCCGGAGACCAAGTCATTCATCATCTAGGATCACATCTGCACAATCCAAAAACACTCTTTTTGACAGTATTTAAGGTTTTCAACATCTTCGTAGGGATTTACATGACCTGTTGCCAATGAAGTTTTTTTATTGGAAACAAATCGGATCAATAGAGCGTTGCTTCAGTTGTAATTAAAACAGCTTAGACTTTCTAATCGAGTTCATTAACAGCAGAAGGTGGAAGCCCGAGTCTGATTAATGCTTAATTTGCTTTTAAATTGCCTGTTGGATTTCCCCCCGTGTGAATTGATTCAAGGTTTTTAGCGGAGAATCATTAGAAGTCATACCTCAGCACTTTTCCTGCTAAGTAGTTCCTTCACTCCTCCTCTTTCTCTTCATCAGTTCTCTTCTCTCTGACACTGAAATATGTCTGTTCTTTCAACTCCAGCCACGGCTTCAACCGATTCTCAAGGTTTCACTTTCCAGTCTTTCCTCATCAGATTTAATTTCTCTTTTTGTTTTCGACTTCTTAACTCCAACTTTTAACTCAAGAGGCAGTCTCCCTGATTGCCTCGTTATCAAGAACACTCACCTATTTCACATCAGTTGATCTCATTTTTATTTAAAAATGTCATCGTAACCCTGTTTAAACCCCAAGCTGGACTAAGTGCTTAAATGAATAACTTTGAATATATATGCAGGATTAATTTGTGGCATTAATGTTGTGTTACGCTGCTTAAAAGAGCAAACTGCCTCAACCAAGTCCATGCTGACCTCACACACACAAAAAATACTTTTGTATGTGTGTATTTGTCAATGGATTTCCAATCCAATGATTACATTTCCTCAGCGTTCATGGCTCGACTTGTTTGGGCTGCAGTTGACCCTTACCTGCTATCATTCTGGCTCTGCTAACTTTATCAGACTGTTTTTGTGTCCGTTCTTATATTTCTGTCTGCCTCCTCCACAGGTTGGTCAATGAGAATGAGGTGAAACAATGGCGAGACCAGGCAGAGAAGTTCAGGAAAGGTACGACTTGTTTGACACGCTGCCCCCTGCAGGTGGAGAGAGAGAAAATGCATCATCCAATTCTTCATGCATTTATCTATCAATCTGTATTTTTTTTGGTTTTTTATATTTGCACACATGTTACTCTCTGCTTCTCTAAATGAACACTGTTCTGTTTTCTGTTCTGTTTTGCTTTTAGACCATGCAGAGCTGATGGCTAAACTAGAGAAGAAGGAGAGGGAGTGTGAAACCAAGACCCAGGAAAAGGATGAGATGATGAAGACTCTGAATAAGATGAAGGACAAACTGCAGCGTGAGGGAGTGGAGCTGCGCTCGGCCAGGGAGCAAGTCATGGACCTGTCCACACGGATCAATGACATATCTGTGAGCACTGATGCTTTTTATGTTGCACACTGAATGTGTGGATATGTTATAGTGTAACCCTAAGGTTACATTTAAAAAAGATAATAATAATGATGAAATACCCTTCCATCTTTTAAAATACAGTAGTCTGGTCAGCTGCCCTTCATTGCAATATTTAACCAATGGTTGTTGATAGTCCAGATAAATAGGTTCAGTTGGCATTAACACATTATAATTAAAGTAATGCACACACATTACTTAACCTACACACATAGGTTAATTACATTACAAACATTAATCAATTAAGTCTCCTTCTTTAAAGATGTCATCACTGATGATGGATTTAACATGGGGATCAAACCATATCTCCCTGAAGACGTTTATGTTTAGTTTGACCCATCCATCCGTCAGCCTGAGTGTACTCTCGTCCTCATCATTATTTGTGACCTGACTTCAAGGTGGAAACAAAAATGGAAAATAGAAACAGTACTGAAACTGAAGAGGAAAACAATGTACTTCACCTTGTGTCAGTGAGAACAGGCTGTCTTCATCTTTTCATTTCCCAATGTTCTCCCACAGAGCGGCGGCGTGTCATTCCCAACCCCTCCTCCCCCTCCTGGTGCCCCGATGGCTCCTCCTCCGCCACCTCTGATGGGTGGCTGTCCTCCGCCTCCTCCTCCTCCGCTTCCGTTCAGCTGCCCGCCTCCTCCTCCGCCACCTCCTCCTCCACCTGGAGCACCGCCTCCTCCACCAGGGGCCCCTCCCATTTTTGGAGCCCCGCCTCCTATTCCGTCGTTCAACTCAGCGAGCACCATGCGCTCCAAGTCCATCCCTCAGCCTTCTCATCCGCTCAAGTCCTTCAACTGGGCCAAACTAGGAGAGGTGAGAGAATGTATCAATATGTTGGTTTGTCCTTTTTAAATATCTTTTGTTTGGTCTGTCTTATTTATTTTCTAAACTGTCCATAATCTTGTACATCTGCAAATTTAAATAATGAGTGTGATTTTCTTATTGCATTATTTCTGATTAAGTCTGTATCAGTTGCCTAGAATGACCCAAGATTTAAGCATGTATTCCTCACCTGTTAACAGCTCGGGTAGCCGTAACGATTTGTAGAATGTAAAATGAATCATTGAAAAACAAGAAAGAGAAACAAGTTTAAAGGTCTAAGATTTTAACTATTTTCATGAAGGTCACAATTGTCCAAAAAAAGATCATGATGTAAAGAAAAATCTGTTCTCAGAGTCTTACATCATTGCATTATATCCCTGCTGTTCTTATAATATGATAGCTTTAGCACAGTTTGATGTTTTAGCTTCTATAACTACTACGTTCAAGGCATCTAATCGTACTTTAAGTAACTGAAGAAACTTTGAATGCTTGACTTTAAGTGTTAATCCCTTTTTGTCCTCCTCTTCAGAATGTGATCAACGGCACCATCTGGAACGACATCGATGACCTGAGAGCGTTCGAGATTCTTGACCTGAAGGACATAGAGAAGATGTTTTCAGCCTATCAGAGACAGCAGGTTTGGATTTATTAGCACACTGAGAAAAAAAAACAACTAAATTACATTTTAGGAAAGGTTGTCAATGTATGCATATGATTTAATTTTCAGAGAGCATTTACATAAAACACAGAACTATGTGTCTGTTGTTTTAGTAGCTGATATTTGCCTTGTTTTTGAGTGTGTGTGTGTTTGAATTGAGAGAAGGGATGCACAATACAATACAGACTATTTGTGACAAATTGAATGCCAAATTTTCCAACTCGTTTTAGCCAAATGCTGATGCTGATACTTGCATGTATTTTCCCGATTCATTTAAGACTCCATTAAGTGTCTTCTGTAGTGGACTAAGCACTCTATGATCTCTTCACTTGGAGATACACAAAATAAGTCAAATGTTTTTCAAACACATTTACAGGGCAAAGTAACAGACAAACTGAGGTAAAACATCAAACTCAGGTTAGATACCATGTATTTGAAAATCATACAATCTTTAATTGAATGAGGGGAAAGTGTAGAAAGTACCAAAGCTTTAATGCTAAGAGACAAAAACGTTGGCAACATATCTAATCGTGCACTTAAGACTTCACCAGTGTTGGTTGCCAAGATCTTCTCTTTGTGTTGCCGTGGTATCGAAACAAGTTTTGATATTGTTAGATTTTTACGAGCATCACATTGAAGTTCAAAATTGTGCTTTTGTGACAACCCTCTGTTAAACAAACAAACAGCAATTTTGATTCTTTTATTATCGTCTCTTATCGTGTGTGTGTGTGTGTGTGTGTGTGTGTGTGTGTGTGTGTGTGTGTGTGTGTGTGTGTGTGTGTGTGTGTGTGTGTGTGTGTGTGTGTGTGTGTGTGTGTGTGTGTGTGTGTGTGTGTGTGTGTGTGTGTGTGTGTGTGTGTGTGTGTGTGTGTGTGTGTGTGTGTGGTCTCCTGAGGGTTCAGCTCCAGGCTAACACGAGCAGCTGTTCACTGCTGAATGCCTGATATTGTAGAGATGCCACACGGCTCAAGCTTTGCCCGGGTATCTGCCGAGCGTTTGTGTGAGAACTTGGCGATTTGACTGCGTCTTCACGGGGCTCATGGATTAAAATGAACAGACAGGAAAGAGGCACTGAAGTCACAAGGACGTCCCCACACAGGAAACTCTGTCGGCATAGAGAGGCATTGACTAAAACCATGTTGAACCCGAGACTAACTAATAGGATAATTTCAGGACGCACGCCCTTTGGGACCGGAGCATACAGTACACAGTGATTACTTCTCTGTGTGTGTGCTTCAAACTCATTTACCCTCCACTTGTCATGTGATGATATTCATGCAGTTGCATAATACCGCCTCAAATGGCTCTAAGTGGAATGTTAATGGTCCTAATGAGTTTCTAGTAATCGCAGTTTAAAGCAAGGTCGTTAAGGCTCGATGGAGCAGCAGCACTTAACCTCCATGGACATATTGTTGAACTTCATTTTACTGCCATGCTTAAAAGCATTCTGACAGCTAAACGCAAAACTTCTCTTTTCAGGCTTTTATTAAAGGGAAACGGGTCGTTTGAGGCTGTTGCCGACGGTGATTTACTGCTGGTATTTATTTATACAGAGCAGGTTTTTATTGGCTCAGGTTGACACCGATCTCTACGGACGGAGCCGCATTAAAAAACCCAAGATCTTTCTGGCCTCGACAACTTTGGTTCCATTTGGCAAGAGTCAGACGAAATTCAACAGGACGATTTTGTCATGTTTACACGGGGCATAATTGCTTTTTTGAAGCTTGTCATTGGTGTTTCTTTTTAAAATGGTTTTATGTTTACATTTGCCCTCTGTAGGATTAGGAACCACACTCATTTTTCATTTTTTGCGGTTTTTCCACGTCAAGACAAATGTAGATGCAATCAAAAGAATACATTAAAACAATCGTGACCTGTTTTAGGAATACAGAAACCGAAATGAAACGGGATATTTTAGACTTCCATGAGCCCCTGATGACTTTTGACAGCAGATTATTACAGTTTTCTCTCTCACTGAGGGGCTTCCCAGCTGCAGCTTGTAGTTTGCATAGTTGTAGTTCTTTGCACTTGCCACCACTCTGTTTTCTGCTTGAGTTGCTAATCTTTGCATGTGTTTTCAATTTTTTCAATTTTTGTGTCTCTCTGCATTTCTCCGATTGCCTGCGCAGGAGCTGCTCACTAACCAATCCTTCAAACAGGTGAGTCAAAGTTCTCCCAGCATCTTTATATCAAGTGTTACCTTCACTTCTCAATCACCTTCTCCTCTGCAATGCAACAGCCTCACAGAGCGGACACTATACATTATGAGTGAATAATGATGTGAATGTCCAAAAGTGACGGGATGACCCAAAGTGGTTGGCATGTCCTCTGTCACACATCAGCCGTACGCCACACTGTGTGACATAGGACACAAGGCACTGACATGAAGCTGATAGATGACATTTTGTGTTTTTAGTCCTATGGGTGTTTATACAGGATGCAATCACACTCAAGATTATGCTGTTGCAGGTGGCAGCATCCAGAGCACACCACACAATCGTCTAAACTATGCAGAACACAAAAAAAAAAAAGACTCCAAGCCCCAGTCTTAAACTTTGCTTGCTGTGACACAGCCTCTGCAGACGCACAAATAAATAAAATAGAACCATATCTGTGATTATAGCAATGTTCACACTAAAGTTCTAATGCTCAAGATGGATTTGTTTTGCAGATTCATGTTCATATTACTTTTCAAAAAGTGGCATGAAGTGACCCACATGCGCAAAAAAAAAAAAAAACCCAAACAAAGACGTCACAAGAGCACAGTGTTTGAACAGTTCACTGAAGTAAACATGCTCTAAGGTTTAAATCATTGTCCCTCTTCTGTCCGTCTACATCTCAGCTGTCTTCCATTTTGTTTTTTTTTGGAGTGCGAGTGAGTCCTGCCCCCCTGCTTTTCCCTCCAGCACAGAACTAGGACCCTCAGAGTGATGTCAAAGTCACATACATTCTGATCTGGCTGCTCAAACAGAGGTTCTGATTGCAAAAGCCTCGACCTGTATCCGATTTAGCGTCACATATGAATGTGGCCAAACTCTGATTTGAAAAGATCAGATTCCATGTGACAAACTGCAACAAAAAAAAAAATGATAGTATATATTTTGGTAATATCCCCCCCCCCCCCCGTCCTGTCCAACAGAGGTCGTCTCCTACTGTGCTGTGAGGGAAATGTGTGAACAGGCAACTCAGGAAGATTTCAGCCGCAGCCTGCCTAAAATGTTCTAGAAATGTTTCATGAGTGCATGTGAGGAAAAAGGCTTTAGGAATTAGAAAAGGATGGAATGGAAATGGAAGTCTTTAAATGCAGCCACTTTTATGTTAAACAGTCCAAACAGCATGTGTGGGCAGAGGGGGTTCAAGACGTCCTACAGTATGAAAGGGAGTTGCCCCCCTTACATAATGCCAACCTCACTCTGATGCCAGACAACCCGGGTCAGTGCAGACATGGAAAAACAACACTTTTCTTTTCTCTCTACAAGCTGCATCTGTTTCACATACGTCATTGGCAGAAACCTCCAAAAAGGACAGGAAACCAGCTTGGACCTAAAATAGAGCGCATTTTAACATGCGGCCCCGACCAGTATTCTCAGACGTGTGTTCTTTTTCTCTTGTGGATTTTTAAAAACTACATTTGTGTGGAGCTTACAAAAATATCTCACTTGGCCTGGACCAAGTTTTAGCAGTGTTTCCTGCTCCTCAGAGAGGTTTTATAGGCCTGCCTGCATTGTGTTCTCAGGATGACTCACCAAATAAAATCTGCTTTCACAACACATACTATTTCATTTTAATTTTTTCGCCTGCACAGGCATGAATTTGTGAGTTTCCTCCACTTTTTTGGGGCGCATTCTTCCAATCACACATCTTCCAAAAACTCGATCCAGGTTTAGATTGTTCTAATGAGACGTGTATTTTGTTCTCTATGAAGTGATGCACAACACTAGTCTTAGCTAAATCAGGTCGGAGAACTTGACCTGAGGCCAACTAAAGTATTTGGCATGAGAGCAACCTTTTAGTCTGCGTTTGAAAGTGGCAGTGATCAAACTACCACAACTGGTTCTTCTGACTTCTCCAAAGTCTGGTCCAAATTAACACACTGTTAAATGCTTCGAGGGGCTCATATCATCTCTAAACAAAATAAAGATGTCTAACAGATGTGAGGAGGAGACCTTTGCATTTTATGTGAGCGCTTTTAACTGAAACTATGTTGCAGAGTTAATCTTGTTCTTTTTGTCTTTGTCCTCCTGCAGAAGGAGACGGGCTCCATGGATGACTTATACGTCAGCACACGGAAGGTCAAGGAGCTGTCAGTCATCGATGGGAGACGTGCACAAAACTGCATCATCCTGCTTTCAAAGTAAGACCCCAGGACAGAATTATCAATCATGCTTCTTTATACCATCAATAAAAAAACATGTTACTGTCTGTTTATTGGATTAAAATACAGAAGAGATGTCCTAAAGGCATGGCTGTAGTGAGATCCTGCAGCCACTGGGTCAGGGGTTAGAGCTGTAACTCACTTGCTTGAGGCAGGTGCCTCCTTTGTCTGCTGCAAGAAATGTGTTTTAATGGACACAAGAGGACATCTGTCAGCGTAATTGAATAACCAGATGTGACCTTTACCGGGATACATGACGGTCAGTGAAGAATTGGAGTAGTGGTCAGATTTCAACAAGGCTTTTGTTGGATATTCTGAATAACAAGTTAAGTATTTCTTAACCCATATTAATCATATGACTCTCCTGCTTTACGTGCAAATGAACAAAGAGTCTCAAAAACCTTAATTACCCCTTAAAAACATTAAAGGATGTGGACAAACCGTGATCCAGGCTCAGCAGAGAAAGGAGGGCTGTGCTCATGTTTCCATGCAGCAGAAAGAGAGTGAGCCGATGATTACAGACTGAAGTGATGTAAAACGTTGTTTGATCATGAAGCCTGATGTTCCTCAACAGTTCTGTGGAATATCAGTGATGTATTGGGAACTGCACAGCAACATCTATTCTCTTTTCACTGTGAGAAATCAGGAAAGAGATCAGCGTCATTAACACACCTGTTGTGAAACATCTGTCTCTGCATTATCATAAACTTGCAGGTCGCATCACTAAATGCTGAGCGAGATGGATCGGCTCAGGTCATTTTGCCTTGGCGGCAGGGGTAAATCCAGGGGGGTCAGATGTGCTACTCTGAAATCCTAAATCAACTGTTTTGGGCTGCAGCAGGCTCTAGTATCGTCTATCTATTTTAAGGGCTCTGATGCACCAGCTCATGAGGATGCTGTTCGTTGATGTAGCAAAAGTTGTTCATTTTAAAATGAAAACATAGACGTGTTAAACTAACCCCTTCCTCCAGAGGGGGGCTGCAGTCTGTGAACTGGAATCAGTTATCATCATTTAAGGTCCCAACAACATTGACCCAAAGCCCTGTGGAGAATTTGAACCCTTTTTACTGATCAATAAACAGACTTCCTGAGACCCTCTCTGTCTGCCTGAACAGCAACATGGTCCCAAAGCTCGCTCTCGTGTGCACCGTAAATGACCCGAGGGTACAAACCCGACCCGACTGGGGTCAGCACATGGTCAATACATGACAAAGACCGACGATGCTGTTATTGATCATAAAGCTGCACACTTAGCACAGAAGACACCTGGGAGGACGCAGCTGACTCCGGTCCAGACCCAGGCCCAGTAGTTCCATGTTTGAAATAAACATACTTTTAATGTGTTCATTTAAACAAACTACAACTTCCTTCCTGTGCAGGTTAAAATTGAGCAATGAGGAGATCAAGAGGGCCATTCTAGAGATGGATGAGAGGGAAGAGCTCGCCAAAGATATGCTGGAGCAGGTAAGGCTCAGGACTCGTGGTGTCATTAGAACTGTTTGTTTTTCTCTGTAACAACATTGTGTCCTGATTTGATTGATACTGAATGGAAATCGATACTCTATTGTTCAAAAAGGCGCCATGGAGGTTTGATGCTTGGTCAGCAGTCAGTCCAGACAAAGAGTACCTATAGATTTCTAATGAGGACAGAGGAAGTAAAACAGAAAATGATTAAGCATCCTGAATCTTTTCGATGTATTTCAGTGTGCAATGTTGCCTTGAACTTTGATGAACTACAGCCAATAGAAACCGATCCTGTTTATAGCTATACAACTTTATCAGCAGTCACTTTGATGTTGTTCCTGGTGTCTCTGCAGTTGTTGAAGTTTGTCCCCGAGAAAAGCGACATTGATCTCCTGGAGGAGCACAAACACGAGCTGGAGCGGATGGCCCGAGCCGATCGCTTCCTCTTTGAAATGAGCAGGTACTGAAAACGACCTTATTGCATTTCACTGCTTCAGGTGACAAACCTATGAAGTGTATATGGTAGAGCCGGGCAATAAGACGGATCAACAGATAGAAATTGTGCAGAATAAAAAGATTAACCAGTAAACCATTATTTCCTCCTGAACAATCGGTTCAAAAAGAATAAACCTGTAAAGCTTTGTGAAGCATAAAAAAAAAGCCTCAGGCTGAGACTTATCTGAGAGGAGAAGAAGAAGTCATGGCTGTCCTTTTAGGACTCTTAACACATTTGAAGTTGGTGCCTTTTCTTCGTCAAAGCCTCCCATGTCTCCTCTGAAATATGACCCTGTCCTCTCTCTTTCCTCTGGTCAGAGGAATACTTCTGGGATTAAGTCGTTTCCTTTTTAATATTCCTGGTCCCACTTTGAAAATTCACACTCCCTCCCTCAGTGAACCTTTCGGAGAGTTTAACATTCCCATTTGTCAACGCTTGAACTTAATGGGAGCCTAATAGATGATCAAAGGTCTGTGAAGCCTAAGAGAGGGAGTTTTGTTCGTTTGGGTGATTTCTAGCTTTGAATTTAAGCTTCCCACGAGACAGATGTAACTCACCTCTTGTTCTGTTTCCTTTTCGTCCCTTTTCTCCTCCCTTTACCTCTTTCTTCCTTTCATCAGAATTGACCACTACCAACACAGACTGCAGGCTTTGTTCTTTAAGAAGAAGTTTGCAGAGCGTCTCGCTGAAACCAAGCCGAAAGTTGAAGGTAAGAGCAAAGACCTCGGGGGGGCCGCTAAAAGGCTCTGAATTTAACTTTCTGTGACTCCTTAAGGCATGCAATGCTCTTGTTTTCTCTTTTAATTAATCAACAAAAAACGCAAGACAAAAATGGGAATATCAAAATAACAAAGTCAAACCCCCGATTTTTTGGATTTCTTTGAGCCAGAGAGCTGCACTGTCATTCCACTAAACACAAGATAAACTTACCTGCACAGAAAATGTTCCTGTCAGAAAGCTCGTAACACTTTTCTTATATTTTTCAAACTTTAGCTTGAAACTATGTTGCCCAGCTTATATTCAACATTACCACCCATGTTTAAAACATCTATCCATCCATGATCGATACCACTTAATCCTGTTAAAGGTTGTGGGAGAGGCTGGAACCAATCCTGGGCGGGGTACACCCTGAACTGGTCAAAGGTCAATTAAAGGGGCAACTTCAGGACACACAAACGTTTTTCTAAAACATGAACATAAAATATTTTAGACGTTTGGGTTTTATGAAACGATGATCCCAGAGGCTTGTTAGAAAGTCATTCAGATGTGTGTTTGTAAGACATGATTATTGAAATGAAAGAGCCTCTTAACTTTCAATAAGGGACTTAATAACATTCTTTTAGTATAAAATGTGATCCCAACTTCATGGCTCAACAAGTGAAGCAGAATATAATGACAAATATGAATGGTAATAAGATCCATGATAATATTAGGACGCATTGGAAAGGATCTTAACTTGAGCATAACTAAGGATTTTACTGCTTTATGGACCTTAAAGTTATCATTTTTCATCATCTTAAACATTTGATAGGTTGAGTGATGAATAGACTGTGAGAGTAAATGTTCAATAAATTGATATTTGAATGGAATTGAAAGTTGCGGGCCTCTTTTATGACACCCTTCAGACTTTTCTTGCATCACTCTTATATCTGAGGCGAAGGATTACAATCTCAAGAACATGCTTATGTCACACTTAAAACACCATTTGTGTTGAACTCTCTGACCAAATCCTGTACACAGTGACTCATGAAATCCTTTCTTCCTGTTGAGTTTGCACATGTGTTTGCGTGTGTGCACAGTTCAAGCGGATGGCTTATTGTATGTTGGCCCGCTGTAGTTTTTTCCCCTTCTAGTCAGCCTCAAGGTTACTAAGGAGGCTGTTTTGGAAAGCTGGCCCATGTTGAGAGGGGGAGAGTCTTTCTCATAAACACTGCAGCTCACTTCAAAGACTTGAGGGAAAGGTCTTCCAATGAGCTCCATCGACGTGTGTGTGTGTGTGTGTGTGTGTGTGTGTGTGTGTGTGTGTGTGCTCCTGTGTGTGAACATGGTTGTGTCCCGGCTGAGTAAGGTTGTCGCAGGTTTTTTCCAATGCCTAGCTAACAGCCGAGGATAGCAAACCAGCACCAACACCACCATGCGTACATGTATCGTATTATCCCAGTTGTCCAGGTGCAACAAAGCACCGGCATTGACAAGGCCAGCTTTACAATGAGGAGAATATAAGTGACGATAGTATCTGTTTAAGCCAAAGATACTTGAAAGACCCTTTTTTCCTCAACAAATAATCCTTTCTCTGCTCTGATGAGCACATTATATTTTATGTGCCAGCAGTCTTGTCTTAGCAGCAGTGCTTCCTGACAGCTAAGCCGTGTGTGCTGTAGCTTCTTTGTCACAGAGCCTCTCACTTTTAGTTTGCCTTTGTTTAAAATGTGCTCTAACTGGCATCACTGGCTGCCAGTAATGGAAATAAAGAAGGAGCAGAGGAGTAATCCTGTGAGTTCGGGTGTAGATTTAAGCCTCCTGGATCTTTGTTGTTGGATCCAAACGTTCCCAGAACCACAAATGTTCAACACTGAAGATGAAGTTCTCATATACTTTTCTTATTCGTGCTACTTTGTCATATACTCTAAATGAGACTATGTTTCCAGGACCACCCAGCATGTTCAATAGAAACATTTGAGCAGACAGTGCAGTTAGCCTTTCCTGCATCCAGCAGAAGGCCGTCGGCACAGCCAGAGGAGCAGTTCCCATGCTGCACACAGCAGAAAGAGCTGTAACAATAACAAGAGAGGGTTTTGTTAATGATTTTCACATTCACACTGAGGTTTCCTCTGTGGAGCGAGGGAACCACCTGCACTTTGCCAGACAAGTCCGCTCTCATGGGGGAGGAATGGTACAGCACAGGGCTGTGTTTGGAGTAATATCTTCCCCCTGCTGTTTTATGGATGGATGGAAGGGATTGATGGGTTTCCCCTCTGAGCTGCCCAGTTGTTGTGTGGAGTATTGATCAATCATTATGAGTGATGTTAAAAATGAAGGAAAGGATGGGAAGCCCAGGGTCAGCTGAAACTCGAGGTTTGCATATGTGTCCATGGGGGCTGAGTAGAGAAACAGAATGGAAAGGAATGAAGGGGGGAAAAAACACTGGTTTATTATGTAATATAAAAAAGGTGATACACTAAGTGCACACATATCAATCACCAACTTATATGATCTCTCCAGCTGCTTCTCTCTCTTTCCATTTTCCCCCCAGCCATCCTGAATGCGTCCAGGGAGGTGGTCCGGAGCAAGAGGCTGACTCAGATGCTGGAGGTGGTGCTGGCCTTCGGCAACTTCATGAACAAGGGCCAGAGAGGAAACGCCTACGGCTTCAAAGTCTCCAGTCTCAACAAAATCGCTGACACCAAGTCCAGCATAGACAGGTGGGCCTTTTAGCGCCTTAAAGTGAAGCTGTCAATCAAACGTAGAAAAAGAAATAGCCTCTTCTTCTCAGCTTTCTAAGTTCTAAAAGTGAAAAGGAAGGTTTGCACAGATGTCACATACATGCGGTCGGAATCAGGACAAGAGTCGCTCAATTTCTTCAAAGTCTGTTTTGAACAAAAGTCTAAATGTTGGTTTAGAATTTATGTTTTTCTTTCAAAGATCTCTCGATTGATTGAAGTGGTAGAGTCGATCACCTCTCGACCAGAATGTTGAGGGTTCGATCCCCAGCTTCTGCAAGAAGTCCTGCAGCCACATGCTCGATGTGTCCTTTGGCAGGACACTTTACCCCAAGTTGTTCCCACTGCTTCTTCAGTGGTGTATGCATGGATTAATTAAAACTGACAGTCACTTTATACAACAACTACTGTCATCAGTGTGTGAATGTGTAGGTGTGACCTGCAGTGTAAAAGTACTTTGAGTAGTCTCAAGACTAGAAAAGAAATATACAAGCTCAAGTCCATTTACCATTTACCGTAGTATTTCTGTCAGCATGGACTGTAAGCAGTAAAGCAGTATGGTTCTCCAGGGCTTAATCAAGAACAAGTTAAGAACATTTGAGTTGATCGTATTTGAAAAATTACTTCCAAACTAGTTTAAAAAAGAATCATGCTAATGCCCACCTCAAGTGGGGACAAAAGTTTTGGAAATCTGGTGAAATGTTTTTATTTGACTTGTGGAGTTAATATCAAACCGGGTTTAATGTGAGACACTTTTTATGAATCGACAAGTTGTTCATACAAAGTTGTGCTCAGAGGTAATTCCAAGAACATCCCATCCATGTGCAGTGATATAGAATCAATTAAGAGTTGTTCATTAACAAGAACCCTTATTTAAAAAAAATTAGTATTTTTTTAGAATATACCGGTGCTGCAGCAAATCTGTGTCAAAATTACAACATCAACAAAAAAAAATAGGAAATGGGATCATCCACACAGAGCCTGTGAATGCAGCTGTACTCCTTCACAGTTTTACATTTCCTGTTTGAATCACCCATAGCATGTTGGGAACTGTAGTGCAGAATACAAAAACTGAAACATTGAACTTGTATGTAAATAATATTTTGATGGTAAAACAGAAGAACATCTCCACTTCTCTTTTTTTGTTTGATTCCATAAAGTTCTCATTAAAAGAACAGTACATGTTCCCGGGACAGGAAGGTGATGACTAGTATGCCATAAGTCTGCAAATAGAGTAACAATAAAGAGTTAAAGCTGAGCAGAACATCCTGAGGTTCAAAGGATTAAAGAGAAAGTATTCAAGATGAGCCTTTAATTAGCAGCTCTGCATGACGTTATGTATCCTGGATTACTTTTGGTTTTCAAACTTTTGTCTTCACTTGTGACTCAACAGGAACATCACCATGTTGCACTACCTGATCATGATCTTTGAGAAGAACTACCCGGACACACTGAACATCCAGCAGGACCTCAACAGTGTCCCGGAGGCTGCAAAAGTCAAGTGAGTGTCCCAACTCTTCACTGAAGGGAACATTTTCCCCAGAGCCATGTTTCAGAGACAGGTGTCAACATGTAACCCTTTTAAACCCTTACATTTAAACATATATAATTTAGTAATCTTAAAACCTGAGTGTTAATATTAATTCTGTATTACTGAAAATCAAAAGACCAGGTGTGAATTTTGGATTATCATCTATAATGTATGTGTTATAATAAAGTTAGAGAGCAAGTTTCAACCATTGTAGTGCTGCTCAAATCTGCCTGTTTCCTCTGTGGCCTGGTGCTGAAACTTGAGTCCATGCATTTGTGTCTTCAGTCAAACCTTTAACTTGTTCCTGTTAAATACTGCAACTAGAATCTTTGACAAAAAAAGTAAAAATGAATCATAAAGCAACCAGTTCTGGCTTTCATTTCACTGGTTTCCATTGTGTGCTAGGGCTGGTTTGAGGATGATTTCTTCTTGTCAAGACACTGCATGGACTTTCAGTATCTCAAATCACCTGATTGATGTTAATGAGGCTTTTACTGCCTGGTTCAGTTTGTTTGTAGTCTGTTTCTCCTATGTATTTATTTCAATCATTAGGTGCATCAGGACTATGCTGTGTGAGGATTTAGCTTTTTGAATAAAGTTGTAAGAACACTTGTTAGTTGGATTTAAAAAAAGTTCCTTTCCTCCACATATTTTCGAGTGTTAAACTGAATAAGTCATAAACTAGTGTCATAAAACTTGTAGAAAGCTTCAGTATAAAATAAAGTATCTGATTCATCTTTTTTTCTTTCACTAGTTTGGCGGAGCTGGAAAAAGAGGTGCACAACATGAAAAGTGGGCTGAAGGCTCTGGAGGCGGTGAGTTGTGTGTGTTTGTGTCGTTGCTCCCTCCTGTTGGTTCTTCTGATGTCTGTTCTTATGTTTTTTGGAGCAGAGCGGAGATGGACAGCAGGATGAGGTGTTTAAATGCTGCTGATGTTTAATGCTAACATGGACTGGAAAATGTCATGTTTACAGCCACGCACAGAAACACGGCTAATGTTCCTGCACTCTTAAAGACACAGAGAGACACACACAGGGGTTTACTGTGTTTTCAATATTTATATATTTTGACTTTGCATAACTATAAGAACTTGATCGTTTGTTGATGATCCTCCCTCACTCTTAAATCCTTGGAGCTCTGCCAGAAGTCAGAATCTGTGACTGGATGAGGGTGCATTAGTGCACATGGCAAGGGAAACCTGCACGTCTGTGAAGGCACCATTAATAGAATAGAATAGAACTAGAATAATAGAATTACTTTATTGATCCCAAACTGGGAAATTGTGGAACAATTATGCTCAAGTATACAGTATGTATACATTTTTTGTATGTATATACATTTTACATATGTGACATATGCTGCAAGATAGATAACATCTTTTTCAGGGAGGGCCTTATTTCATCCAGACAATGACACACTGCATTCTGAAGCTAAACCGTACTTTCTGTCGTCCCGACCTGTCACCAATTGAAAATGTTTGCCGCATTATGAAACGCAGATTGGACACAAAAGACTCTAAACTGTTGAAGAAAAGTAAAAGATTCCTCTTTAAAAATGACAGAAACTGTTCACCTCAGTTCACCAAAACGCTTACAAAGTGTCTCAACTTTTTTTAAACGTGTTGCTGGCATCAAATTGAAAATGGACACAAGAAGGAAAATGTATTTCAAAATTTCAAAATGTGATTTGCTGACTTTGTACTTTTTCTATTAAAAACGGGGGTTCAATGTGTTGAAAATCATCACTTTGGGGTCTTTATGTTTTATATTTTACGCAGCGTACCAACTTTTCAGGAAATGGAAATGTATTTTCAAATGATTCAGTTGACCTGAAATATACACAACCTGAGCCACTAAGTGATTTAACTCAGGTGACCGTGACTATTGAGAAATGTATTGTAACTTTGGCATAAATAGAAGAATCTAATAAACACACAGCATAGAATGTGTCGAAACAATTTGAATATAGAAACATAAAAAACTCATTAGAAAGCTTTTTGAACCTCTACATTTTGGTATTTTTTAGATGAACTCATTTCAATGTGGAGTGTTTTGATACATCACTGCGATAACAAAGCAGTGCCTCTGTCTGTGATTTTGCTCATTTTAGTTCAATCAAAGTATCTGTAAAAGCTTTATATCTATCGGGTTTCTTTTTAAGTTAAGCTCTAGCTATTTTTATTGGATTAGTCTGTTTATAATTTCAGTTCAATCTTAACCAGATCATGCAGAAAACACTCTCCTGCAGCAAGATCATGGCTGCCCCCTAGTGCTCGATGTCACCCAATTCAGTTTTCAGCCACAGGTGGTGTGTTTTCATGGGGTTGAAGGAGATGTCCCTGATTGCTTTATAGAACACAAGAACCCCTATAATCTTTAAGTATTTTCTTCTTTTTTAAATCCCACTTTTCTCGTCTGCTCGCCCCCCCCTGCAGGAGCTGCAGTACCAGCAGAGCAGGACGAGGGAACGTGGGGATAAGTTCGTGGCTGTGATCGGAGACTTCATCACCGTGGCCGGCTTCAGCTTCTCTGAACTGGAGGACCAGCTGAGCGAAGCCAAGGACAAGGTAGCTACCTGCATGAGCACCGAGCGATACAGGAAACAGAGCATTTAAAACATGAGACAAGAACATATTGCTAGTTCATATGTCCATGTGGGTGGCTTTGATCTGTCCTCTGTGAGTTGTTGTCACTGCCAAACCCTCATGTCAGACAAAAGAGGGACGAAACGCTGAAGGAAGAAACCCGACCCCAGTGTGATGACTTCAGCAGCGCAGGGGAAACCCAGCCTTGAAAGCTTTCTGTGGATTCCCCCCTCGTCCTGCCTTTGTGTTTGTCTCTCTGAGTTTAGTCTTTTAAATCCACACTCTCCTTCTTTGTGCACGAGGACATATGGCCTCTTGAACCCTGCTGGCTCATGCACTGATGTCTGGTAGGAAGCATGTAAGCTGAAGACATCAGTGGGACTGCAGGAACCCCAGAGTGAATACAGTGTTGAAAAGATTCATGTAAGCAGGTTTTTTCGCAGGCCTTCGGGTGCTCTCTTGCACACAGCAGATAACATGCAGTGGTAATAGTAACTCCAACATGATGTTTAGGTTGAGGCTCTTTTTTTCAAAATAGTTTATGCACTGATGAAGAATGCATAAATAGTTTTAAACTCTCTGAAGAACTGGTTCCCAAACTGTCCAAATCATGGATAACTATCCATCATGTAAATGACCACAGAAGATTTTACTAGAAAGTGTTCTGGTCATTGTTTGCAGTTTCACCAGCCCTTCTCAGTGGTGTAGCTAAGTTCAGCCATCATCACATCTCTGTACATTCATATTGATACCACAACGACGTAAGATTGATGTCCCAGTCTGTGAGTTCACTTTGCGTTTCGGGATTGAAGAAGCACAGCAGTGTCGGAGCTCCACATACGCACACAGTCAGACAGACATGCACGCGCACACACACACACACACACACACACACACACACACACACACACACATAAACACACACACACACACACACACACACACACACACCACACACACACACACCCTGCGCTCACGAATCAAGAGAGCTTGAGCAAGAAAGCAAGAAAGAGAGGGAGAAGGAGTTTCATTCAGACCCTTCACTCTGCTAAATTATTTGTTCAAGGAGGAGTTCGCTGAAAAGTTGGAGGGAAAAATGGGCCTGTTTGGATGTCATGGGAAAAGAACGAGAGAAGGAAGGCTTCTGTAAAACAAAAGAACCTGTGTTCAGCAGCCCAGACTCTAAACACACTCTTTTCCTAACTCCACTGTGTGTGTGTGTGTGTGTGTGTGTGTGTGTGTGTGTGTGTGTGTGTGTGTGTGTGTGTGTGTGTGTGTGTGTGTGTGTGTGTGTGTGTGTGTGTGTGTGTGTGTGTGTGTGTGTGTGTGTGTGTGTGTGTGTGTGTGTGTGTGTGTGTGTGTGTGTGTGTGTGTGTGTGTGTGTGTGTGTGTGTGTGGGCTGACACATTAACTTAGGTTTCCAGCAGAATACAAATATGGAAGAGTGGGTGTGCACTCAATGTTTTAGTTCTAAGTTGAGAAGGATGACTAAACAGAGCAAGCAGTGCAATGCAGCTAATAAAGCTCCATGGCAACCAATGTGTGTGTATTTGTAGGAGAAAAACACACACACACACCCACACACCCTCACCAGACACTACTACATACATTACAAAGGATTACAGATGTCCAAGGTCATGGGGGTTATTGGGACAGAGGTTTCTAGAGGAGAGAAGGGATTTTCTCTCTGATCCACAGAGATGGGTCGGGTTTATCTCTCGCACCCTCATCTCTTCACGTTCACAAACAATTCAGTGCAAGATTCAGTCTTCAGTCTGAAACAAAACAACTACATTGCAATCTAAAAAAGGCAACACTTTGAAAAACTAAAGTGCACTAGTAATCGTGCCAAAAATAAAGTCCACAGATATTGAACATTTTGTAAAAGAGACACGTTTGTTGAGATTCAGCGTCTGGTGTGTATCTCTATACAATGCACCTCCTCACTCTGCTGCACGGAGAGTTCTTGTTCTGACCCAGCTCAGTTCTGTTCCCCAGATTGTGATAATTTCGGCCATACAGAGGTGGAATAGAGCCTATTGAAACTATACATGTTTCAATAGACTCATTGAAACATGTACAAACAGCACTGGAGTACAGACACGCTGTATTCTCAATTAGCACAATTAGCGGTGCATTTAACTTTTTGCATATGTGCTTTGTGAATTAGACACTCATTTTTGCACAGGCTGAGCAAGCACAAAAGCCATACATCCTTTTCTAAATTAGGCCCTCAAACTTATTGGTGCAATCAATGGAGTCGCCCCCCAGTGGACATTAATGAGAGTGCAGGTTGAAGGCAATTATACTTTATCCTTATTTGTTAAGGCAAAAGTCTGTGTCCACCTTCATATACAATCTACAATGCTGCTTTGGAATTTAAAGTCTCAAATTTGACTTCCACAACAAAGGAGTATCTGGCTGATCTTTTTTAACCATGTAACCAAAAGAAATAAATGTCTCCTTGAGCGGTGGAAATACTCGCTCAAACCTGTTTCAGTTGAAAACTGTAGATTCTTTAATGCTGGTGCATCTTACCAACGCTCTGCACAAACTGATCTTACTACAGGCTCTCCTTGTATTTCATTTGCAGCGCAGCACAAAGTTATTTCCCATGTGCCCACTTTCATTAAACCTAGCCTCTCACAACTGCCAGTCCATGACACTAACACCGTGACAACATCACTGAGCTTTTTGTTTCATGCATTTAATACACTGCCACAGCAAAGCTGGGGAGGGAAGTCTATTTAAAGACTGGCTTGTCTCATGCTGAAGTTGTGTATGGAGGAGTAGGAATCAGACTAAACCAGAAGTGACTATTTGATCTCTAAATTTCTGAATTTCTGAGGGCTAGCCTCCGAGGGCTGGATTATAAAACTAATCTACTTCATTTTATCTATAAATTGATGCGATTAAGTTTCTTTGTTTTCCCTCAAGAACATGTTTATTAAGTTCCCACATGCAGAGCATTGACAAAACCTCGGATGGTTGGTGAGATTACAGCACTATTAATCAAAGATTTAATCTAAAACAGCCTGTAAGAAAGTTTGTGGTTTTTAACAACTTAAAGCTCCTGTGAGGAGTTGTGAAACAGACTGAAATACAGATGCCTTTAAACGTGACAGAAACGCAAACAAGACCATAAGCTGCAAGACTGATCATTTTTGTTATTTTAGATGCTTGTTACCACTGCCGCCTGCCAGGTGTCAGATAGTGAGTTCAACACAGTGCAGAAACTGTTAATCACAACAACATGATCACTCCTTACACATGTGCAGGACAGAATCAACAAAGAGATAAGAGTCAGCACTTTGTCTACAGGGGGCGCCAAAATCCCCAAGAACCTGAAGTTCATCACAGGAGCTTTAAAATTAAAGAACATTATATTGTCAGTGTATGATAAACAAATACAAACACAGTAACTTGTGAGTATCTTAGTGTAGATAGCACAGGATTGATACACTCATCCCTATGAATAATCCTCTCATAGTGCCACAGAGTTTGTAAATCGTAAATGGACTTGTAGAGCGCTTTTCTAGTCTTCTGACTACTCAAAGCACTTTTGCACTGCAGGTCACACCTACACATTCACACTCTGATTGTAAAGTGTCCATTAGTATTAACTAATCCCATTCATACACATTCATACGCCGCAGACAAAGTGGCTGCAGGAGCTTGGGATCGCACCCCCAAACTTCCGGTTTAGAGACGACCGACTACCAGCTGAGCCAGACCCAGAGGGGACGAGAGGAAACACATTTGACCAGAACACACATAATTACAGGAGGGAGAGGGATGATGGTGGTGGTAGCCATGGTGACCAGCCCATAATGACAGGATGATTGTGTAGCCTCAGAAAAAAAAACAATCCCATCTCCTCCGTATCTCAACACAAGAAGTTGAAACAGTTTACTCCCCCAGCTAAAAACTACAGTGATGGGATGTTTTCTGTAACATACCCAGAGAGGGCAGGCCTTAAAGTACAGCAGATATTCATGTTTTCTTACTACGGCTGTTTTATGTGAGGATGATGATGGCCTTAAGAGTGGATAATTATACACCAGCAAAAATACATTCACAGCAGTTTTCTCTATATTGATCAAAGTGGATTTTTGTCACAATTCATTATGTTCGAGTTCATATTCATATTTAATAATACTCCTGTTACTCGATTGAGCTAAAAAGCCACAAAAGTCCACAGGGTGATAAATGCAAAAGTAGTCTCTCCAACAAAGAGTTGGTTTCAACTAATTAGTAGAACCAGCTTGTTGATTAATCAGACCTGGCCGTGTATCTTTGGCTGTCTCAAAGCAGATACTAATGTACTCCCTTCTACATAAACAAACAGTAGCCCACTGATCCCACTGTTAGTATGCTGTTAGCAACAAACTGAATTACTGACCACATTATGTTTCTCCAGTTCAAGCTACGTTGGATAAGCTAGCATCAAGCTAGCCCGACCTTAGTGAATGTGACGTCATATTTAGTCAGAATAGTATGAAAGTATATGGTTTCTGACACAGCCTTCTTCTATGTCTGTATCTGCTCTGTGTGATACTCATTTCAGTAGCACTGATGATTGTCAAGACGTTTTTTATTTACCTTTTTGTTCTGTGAGCACCTTTTGTTCTCACCATTCCTGTCCTCATTAAAGAGACTATTTTTACATTCATGTCAGTCAGTGGTCTTTTAGCCCAGTCGAGTTGTTGTGCAGGGGATCTCCTCTGCCATTTTTTTTCACATTATTGTGAATAATGATTACATTTACAACAGGTTAAACATAACGACATCCTTTTGGCAACAGAGAGGACACTCAGTTCTGTTTTCTGCTGAATGCTGCAGTATGAAGCTGTATGTGTGCAGGAATGTAGAGTAGGTTTGACTGCAGGCGTCGTCCTGGCACAGAGCACCGGACAGCTTGGACTGAACAGGGGGGGACATACGGTGCTCAAATCATGCAGTCAGGCTCCCATCTTCTGCTTGTGTGTGTGTCTGCATGTGTGCTGCTGCAGTCCTAGATCACACAACATTAAACATGCATTCAAGCTAAGGAATTTGGGCAAGGATGGATACTCTTTTAAATATAGGAACAAGCAATGAAAGACCAGTGTTACTGCAGAGAATGCAAGACAATCAAAAATTCTTTATTGTTTTTTTATCCATTTGTTCTAGGCTTGCTTTTAGTCACTTCCTATCAAAGTGTAAAAATGTTGAACATGGTCTCTGTCTCCGCACAGTTTACCAAATCGCTGAAGCACTTTGGGGAAGAAGAAGGGAGGATGCAGCCTGATGAGTTCTTCGGGATCTTCGACACCTTCTTGCAGTCGTTTTGTGAAGCACGGCAGGACCTGGAGAACATGCAGCGACGTAAAGATGAGGAGGAGAGGAGGTCACGAATGGAGGCCATGGTGAGAGACACATTTTGATAATGATTAGAGCAAATGTCCTGGTGATTCCCATGATGGAACTCCCTCAAAAACACTGTATTTCACGCACATGGACACGTTTTTAAGAGCTAGCTGTGCATGCTCTGATAAGCTCAATGACAATCCAGGTGAAGCCGTTTTACCTTTCTGCAGGACGCCCCTGTGTTTCCTGTGAACCAAAACATGTCTTTGTCATATAATAATAGCCAGAACAATGATCTTTTTTTTTGTTCCAACCAAGTGGATTTGAGGCCCAAACAAACATTTTACTAACAAAACAAAACCGTCACTATTTGGTAAGGTTTAGGTAAAGATCATGGTATGGGCTTGAATAATAACCAATAGTCCTACTACATCCATATCCAAATACAGACACACTTATAACATCCATCTGAGAAGATCTTTGCTGTTGGACATAATTTATGCATAATATCTGTATTTTAGAAATGTTTGCATGAAGTCATTATTGTCCCTTTTTCAAAGTCTGGTGGTCAACAGCTCACATTGCTGATCTTCAATACGATACAGAATGGTATGGCCAATATAATGTGATATGATACGGTACAGTACTTTAGGACAAGGTACGGTACAATTAAATAGGATACCATACACTTTATTGTTTTAAATCCATCTAAATTTAAACAGATTGAACCATCTCTATGTGATATAATATGTTTTTAGGGACTCTCTTTCCACCACACTCCTCTAAAGTGTCTGCCTGTGTCCCTGACTTCCTGTTCTTTAATTTTCCAGCTCAAGGAGCAGAGGGAACGGGAACGGCGGGCCAAGAAGAGCGGGCCTCAGACGAGGTCGGCGGGGAGTTTGACGACCTAGTGTCGGCTTTACGTTCCGGTGAGGTCTTCGACAAGGACCTTAAAAATTCAAGCGTAACCGCAAGCGCTCTGTCAACCAGCTGGTGGAGGGCGGGGGCGCGAACGAGCTGTCACCAAGGTCAACTACTAGGTCGAGGAATGGAAGGACAAAAACTAAAAACACTTAACACCTAAATTCTATTGAGGTGTTTGACACCTTTAGTCCAGGTTCTCGAGTGGTGACCTTTGACATAGGAGAGGCTGTACATAAAGGCTGGACATGTGGCGACATGTATGGACAGTAGCGCCACTTTGAAGGATGCAACACTCTCCTCTGATTTGGTCTTGTAAAGCTGTTTCCAACCTGTTTGTCCTGGGTGTTGTTTGATCTCATGAGCTGGATGAAGGACACTTGTGATTGGTTGATGGATGGATGGACGGACAGACAGACCACTGTGACGCACTATCCCATATCTTTTGACCCTATCCTTTTAACACTGTGTTCAAACTTCCAGCTCTCCATCACCCCTTCTTTTTCACTGCTCTTTATATCTTACAAACCTTTCTCCGTTTCTCAGTAACTTCCTCGGGGCTTGATCAGCCCATTCTCTGTGTATCTGGTTCTAGAGACACATAGGATGTTCAAATCCACAGTCACGCTGTAAATAGATTCCAGGCCAAGAGAAAGGATTGGGAAGAAAAAGTATATCTGGAAAAAGAAGGTGGGGAGCTACGGGAACTAAGCCATTACCTCCACGGCCATGGTGGTTCCCGGGACGAGAGACACTCCAGCATCAGTGTTGGTGGATATTCATGAACTACCTTTCCCAGAATGCTTTGCAAGCTTCTGAAAGCGTGAGGAAGGGCACCACAACAGTGCTTCATAACAGAGGATTTATCCAACCTGGCCTCTTGAAATGCACAGCATTCACAAGTAGGGAGTTATTTCAGAGGACACAAAATGAAAAAAAAAAAACAACCTCTCTCATCTTGTTCCACCCGACAACACGATGACTGTGCCAGGTTTTAGCCTCACCTACACTCTCCAATGGTTTCAACATTGTTCTGAGAGAAACACAAATGTAAATGTATTAACAAAAAATACTGCAATTAGGCGTTGATATATATTTATATTCAGATGCAGACAAGCTAATTGCAAAGATGTAGAGGGTTTTTTTTATGTTTTCATGGCATTTGGGGTTTGTACACACGATGCATTATTTGTTGGTGTTGCAAGTTCACATTGCTGTTGAAGTGAATTTCTATACATTTTGCGCTTTATGTAAAATAGATAATTGCTTGACCTTTTCTCACCAGTATGTGTTGTTTGCACTGTAGATTTTCTGACAAAACTTCACACTCAGTGGTTCCCACAGGCTGGTCTCGTCGACAAAGTCTCTCTGTACTTAAAATACCTTTATGTGTAAAAGATAATGAAGGAATGCCACATGAAAATTAAAACATAAAGGCATATTCGGCGGTTTGTTTACAGTGCTCTCACTGCTCAGCTGTCTGCTTGCATCTGAATGTGTTTTCTGATTCATCTGCTGCAACCACTATGCAGACCAGAGGGTGCGAAAATGATGCTGCATAACGGTTCCCATCCATTGTATCTATAGGATCTTTTCCACTGGTGCTAAAACTTGTGGTTTATGTAAAGCCATTAGTCCACTTTAGGATTTAAACCAGGGATTTATTGCTAAAATTCAGCCTCATTACATACATTTCTGTGTTTTTATTTGAGCTGGCATTGTGATTTCAGACACACTTTGTAATCAGTATGTTACAACAGAGCACTTAAAGGGTGT